TATGATGTTTTAGGCTGAATTGGTTATTGATGGTTGTAAATATTTGTATTTATTTATATTCATTGTATTCTTGAGGAAAGACGCACAATGGTTTTCTCCATTTAGTGAGTTGTAGCCGATATTTGGATGAGTGACAGTTGATACTTTCTACATGGAAAAGAACCCAGATTTTTTTTTTCGGCAGTTGATTATTGAATGTCTTACAAGAAAAAAAAACTAACAAACCCGATATCAGACCCAAAATTATGTCAAGATATAAATATGCGAACTTGAGACATCTGTCAATATTATGAAGGAAAATGTAACTATTAGTTATTCAAAAGTATACTTATTTCTCCATTTAATTATTTTTCTAACATAAAAGAGTAAAATCAGTAAAATCACCACAATAAAAATATTATTAGCACATAATCAAACAAAAACATTGTTTTTAGTATAAAAAGTGAGAAGAATATTATTTTCTAAGAATAATAATTTATTTTATGAGAGGTTTATCCATTTGTTATTGTACTTGGACTGAACAGCTAGCTAGCTCCGCTGTCTAGCTAATGGGAGGTTTGGACTGTATATGGCGTTTCCCCAACACCCAGTTTCATTGCCATTTGTGTCCCCTGGCCTCTCCTCCTCCATCTTCACCATCGCTGAGAAAAACCTTCCTTTTATTCTCTCCTTCATCAAACACCAAAATCAGCAGCAACAGCAGAAATGCTGGGACTGTTGCCTACACAGCAAACACTAGAACCAGAAGGCGTAGCAAAAATGGCAGAGCTCTCACTCTCAGACCTCCTCTCTCCCTCCCTCAAAATCAACAATCCCAACAAGAGCAACAACAACAAGACGGTGATGACGAAGACGAAGATGAAGATGAAGAAGAAAAGATAGCCCAAGGCCGTGGCCGTGGGAACTGGACAATAGTGTTGTCGTCGAGCTTAGTGGGTCTGCTCACTGGAATTGGTGTCGTGCTCTTTAATTACGCTGTATGTTTTAGTTTACCCATTACCCATTTTTGCTTTTTTGCTTTTCATGCTTGCTTGCTTACAAAGTTTTGAGCTTTATCTGAGATTGCAAAGTTTTAAGTTTTATCTGAGATTTTGATATGAATGTTAAGGTTCATGAGATACGTGATGTGTTCTGGGATGGGATACCACAACGAGGAGCTTCGTGGCTCAGAGAGGAGCCAATGGTAGATATGTGGAAGCGAGTGATTCTGGTTCCAGCTTCTGGGGGTTTGATCGTAGCCATGTTAAATGTGCTTCGAGGTGCTCTGGATGATGGTTCAGAAGATAATAAAAATGGCAATGAGCAAGGAGAGGAAGAAAAAGAAAGTTTATTGGTGAAAATGGGAATGCCCATTTCGGTTTTTCATAGTCTCAAGGCTGCATCACGTCCATTTCTCAAGGCAGTTGCTGCTGGTGTCACTCTTGGGACTGGGAATTCATTAGGTCCTGAAGGTCCTAGTGTTGAGATTGGAACTTCTATAGCAAAGGGTGTTGGTGCTGTATTTGGTAAAAGTTCACAAAGAAGCCTCTCTCTTGTGGCTGCTGGATCAGCTGCTGGAATTGCTTCTGGTGGGTATTCGTTTTTATGTTTCTCCATGCTGCCAGTTATTGATATATGTTTGTTCTCAATGTAATTGTTCTTTTGTCTCTTTTCAGGGTTTAATGCTGCTGTTTCTGGTTGTTTCTTTGCCGTTGAGTCAGTCCTTTGGCCATCACCATCAGATTCCTCATCTATTTCACTAACAAATACCACTTCTATGGTCATACTTAGTGCTGTTATAGCTTCTGTAGTTACAGAAGTTGGTCTTGGCTCTGAGCCAGCCTTTAAGGTCCCATACTATGACTTCCGCTCACCTACTGGTATACTATCGATTATCTGTTTCACTCTTGAAAATGTTATAGATAAATTTCTGCACCCTCGAGTGAACAAAAACTGGTGCTTTTGATTTGAATAATTTCTTCTGCTGACTATTGCATTACTACATAATCTATGAGTATTTCTTGTTCCTAGTAATGTGATTTTCCTTTTCCAAATATGGTTTGTGAGTTTACCCTATTATTTGTTACAACACTAGGTTATTCACTCTACTGGGATGAATTTTTTCAGGCATACCTTTAGTATATCTAGAGATAGATGTTCAAGTTATTATTTAAAAGGTGCGGTTTTAACAGTGAGACGTATTCAAATCATTTTCAGAGCTTCCGCTATATCTCTTGCTGGGTGTCCTTTGCGGCTTGGTTTCACTAACCTTATCAAAGTGCACAGCATACATGTTGGGATTTATTGACAATCTTCACAAGACTATTGGCGTACCAAGATTTTTGTTCCCTATACTGGGTGGCTTAGCAGTCGGGCTTATAGCATTGGCATATCCTGAAATTCTTTACTGGGGTTTTGAGAATGTTGACATTTTGCTGGAATCTCGACCACTTGTGAGAGGCCTCTCAGCTGATCTATTGCTTCAGCTGGTAGTGGTCAAGATAGGTGCAAACCTCTTTGTGCCGGGCGTCTGGATTAGTGGGTGGCTACTATGCTCCATCACTTTTATTGGTGCAGCAACAGGAATGGCATATGGGAAACTCATCAGTTCTGCATTTGCTCAGTCCAATCCTATACTTCATCTCTCCATATTGGAAGTAGCATCGCCGCAAGCATATGGCCTGGTATGCTCTATGCCACTTTTGCATCTAGAAGATAGTTTGCCTTCAAATTTTGGCTGGCAATGAGAACTCCGCCCCCTTCTCTTTTTTTTTTTTTTTTTTTTTTTTTTTTTTTTTTTTTTTGTTGTGTTTATGTGGTATATGTATTTTTTTTTTGTTTTGATATTTCAGAGAAAATCACATTCGAATTAGGAGGTCACTTTATGTAGTTAACTAGAAACCTACAATATTAGCCATCGCCTTCAGGGACAAAAAACTTTTTCTTTGCAGCAGTAGGTTTTGTGTGTCCTGCTTTTTTTATTAGAAGGTTAAAGTCAGTTGTCTAGTTGGTTCTAAATTGTCAAATGGTTTTGAAAATTGACATGGACAGTACATGAGATAACTTTTCATTGTAATACTATGTAATAATTAAGACAGAAAAGCCTAACTTTCTGTGTGCATGTATTATTTCTCTGTTTGGAATTCTCTGCTGAAATTTGACGCTATAACGGGTAGTCAAAATCAGGTTGTGGTTGACCATTGGAGAGGTTCCTTTTACAGGTTGGAATGGCTGCTACTCTTGCAGGAGTCTGTCAGGTACCCCTTACGTCAGTTCTGCTGCTTTTCGAATTGACACAAGATTATCGAATTGTTCTTCCACTACTTGGAGCTGTGGGGTTATCTTCATGGATCACATCTGGACAGACAAGGAGAAAAAAAGATAGCTGGAAGAGTAAGAAACTCGATCGGGGAAAAACTAGCAGCTTTCAACAACCTGAAGTACCTTCCCCTAGTGCAAGTGGGCTATCTTCTAGTAATGCTTTCACTGAAAGGACGTCTAACGCAAGTGACCTTTGTGAAATTGAAAGTTCACTCTGTATAGATGATTCTAATATTGACACTGAAAAGTTGGAAAAGAGAATATTCGTTTCTGAAGCCATGAGGACGAGATATGTGACTGTTTTAATGGACACTTTGCTTACAGAAGCAGTGACTCTCATGCTTGCAGAGAAGCAGCCCTGTGCTATGATAGTTGATAATGATCATATTCTAATTGGTTTACTTACACTTAAAGACATTCAAGAGTACAGCAATAAATATGCACAATCAAGAAGACAGAGACCCAAGGTAATGGATTATTGTCTTGCTGAACTACTGCTAATTTTTTACGTTTTGTGTCCCTGTGAGCTTGAATGACTGGTTGTACTGTTACAGGAGCTTATAGTATCTGAAATGTGTTCTTTGAATGGGGAAGTATGCCAAGCTCCATGGACTGCTACACCCAGTATGAATCTACTTTCAGCTCAGAATATTATGAATAGGTATGGAATGAATCAAATTCCAGTTGTTACAGAGCATGTTCAAGATCACAGAGCGCACCTAGTTGGCCTTTTAGACAGAGAATGTATCAGTCTCACTTGCAGGTACCAACTTTTTTCTTTGCCGTTATAGACTCTCTCATTTATTTGCTTCAGTTTTGCATTACTATTTGCGTACGGAGGATTGCATTAAAATCAAAGTTTGACATAGAAATTCTCATTAGTTTGCTAATTTTCTGATTTTGTACTTGTTTTTTTCCTTTGGTGGTTGCAGAGCTCTAGCAACCAGAGAATCCCTTGGCTGGTAGTAACCAATACTGGATGGCTTGATTTGTTGATAAACCAGAATACTTGACATCATATTTATCTTTCAGTCTTTAGTAATACAGTCTCAGGACTCTCAAACTTAGCCTGGACAGATACAACTCAGGTGAATCTCAGATTGCTGCCTTCAACCACCCCGTGCCACACTCAACTTAGTCTTTCGTTTGCTACTCAGCCACTGAAAAGGGCTCGAAGTCGGAAATCTAAGATCAGTCAGGTTGTACTGACTGGACACGTACAAATTTACATACAACTGATGGAAATACTAGTGACAATATTCATGAGAAGAAAAACCAAATCATTGGAACAGATACTGTCAAAATTGGATTTTCCCTTTTACCAATTTGCCTTGTAATTTAGACTTACTGGCTTTGTTCCAATAACGTACATGTTCTTCAGGTTTTCTTCTTGGCCCTCAGGCGATTGTTATATCACTCCAATTGTCAATAAAGGTGAAAATTCTTTTGAGTAAAGGTAATTGAAATGGCATTTCTTGACATAAATATGGTTTTATGGTACAATAATACGATTGCTGTTCCATGCCTTACTCTCAATTCAACAATTAAAAATGCATCTACAAGTACAAGAGGCCAAATTTGGATACAAGTTCATTTCCAATTGCTACCCTAATCTGGACTCATCCATAAATCAAGCCTAAATTTAGAATGACTTTGCTCGTGATAATTGACCAAAAAAAGAAAATTGGTCATGATAACGTTTATATCTGATCAGCAGGCTTATTCAGAGTCTCTTGTTCAACCTTCACACTCGGTTCATCCGCAGATCCAGAGCCCATATCCAAAGCCTGCAAATATCAATGCCGACAGGAAAAACCATTAGTTCATGAGCATTTTTATATCAAGTGTGTCCTGCTTTTGTCTGTGGACTCGTGTGTTTAACTTCACCTTTGCGCCTGTTGTAATCTCTTCTACTGCTGGATCATAGCCTGAGCCTCTAGCATTCTCTGTGCTTCCTTTCTGGCTCCCCAGTACACCATGCCAACCAGAAATACAAATTGGTGAGGCAAATAAACACAAAAAATAGGATCTAAACAGTTCAATGTTGTGAATCTACAATCCCATCATTTATCGAGTACAAATGCAGAGACATGTTGTCATACAAGAGGATATAAGCCAAATGCATATGTAAATTTTGAAATGTAGCACAACAAATGATATGAGCACATCACAAGAACGTAGTCGTGCTACGTGCAGGACATAAACATATAAGCATAAACAGAAAAAGAAACACATGGTCATGCTACGTCATCTTGAACATGGTCATACTTCTCATTCAAAAAAGATTATTTAAAAAAAAAAAGGAACAGTACTAATCCAGTGTACGCTTCACATAACATCATATCGGAAACAGGATAATAAAGGGAAGAAAAAGAAACACCACTAAGAGACAAGATTTCCTCATGTTTCTTTGCCGAGAGTGAAAAGTCTAGCCACTTGTCCGTCATCAAAGACAATGAGCACAATTTACTATGCATAGGAATATTCATGACTAGACAAATGAATCGATTGCCCGATTTCACTGAATTATAGTTTATATGCTTCTGCACCCAATTTACAAAAAAGTTTGTGAGATGATTTGTAGCATACCGGATCCTTAACCTCAGTTTCAACGATCTCTTTCTTTACTCTGCTTGATAACGGCTTACTGTATAAAACCATAAATCAGAATATTGCAAAGATGAAAGTGCAAGAAAATGATAGTATATTGAGGGAAGAAATTAAAATACCGTTCATCATCAACATCCATATCAGAATCCGCATCCCACCTCTCATCTCCATCATCCTGATCTTCATCCGCCTACAAGATTTTTAACAAAAAATAAATCTCAAATACTGATTACAAGCCTATAAAAGTATTAACCAGATAACAACTCAAATTAGATTGATGTGAACTAGCAAGCTACATTCATTATACAAAGATTGAAGAATAGTAAGAAAGATGGGAGCTTTGCGGCGGTTTAGATACACAACTTTTTCCTTTGGATCATCAAGTATTCTATCACTTAAGCAACAATAAATGCCACACTAGAGGAAGGAGAGGGAAAATATATTAATGTCAAAATGTCAGCTTGATGACCATTAAGAAAAGAATAATTTTGGAGTCTTCTGCTTAGGAAGAATTTCTCTTTGGAGTCAACAGGAGCACCAGTTCCAGCTTGTTCTGTGATTTAAGCTGGAGAACAACATTTTTCTATTACAAGCTACTTATTTAGACATTATACAAATGAAACCCTCATTCACTTAGCTGTATCATGTAAAATGAGAACAAAGAACAATAATTTGCTATGATAAGTCAAACAAATCAATACAGAAGAATATGTTTCAATAAGATGACTATTAAGTTTTGACGAATATGGAAGAAAATGGAAAAATCATCCCAATCAAAAAAAAAAAAAAAAAAAAAAAAAAAAAAAAAAAAAAAAAAAAGAAAAAAAGTGCACACTACAAATAAAGAAGAAAGTACCTCAGAAGCTCAGTAGGATCAGGTCTTTCATGAAATTGGACACTGGGTGCATGCTGAAGCCTGGAGAGGTTTTCAAGAAGCTTAGATCGTATTTCTTCTAGTAACACATGAGAATTCTTATTTTCCATGTTACTAGGGGCAACATGAAGAGTATAATCTGGGCCAAAATACTCATAATACTCATGCTGTGGCATTTTGTCCTCAATTTCTGCTCCAAGTGCAACTCCCGTCTGTTTTACAAACCACAAATTCAGATCAAAAGTATTCAGTCAAGACTCACAAGTTAAAAATAAATAAACTGTGCCGAATATTGTAAGCAGAAATTACAGATGTTACACCAACGGCCATGTGTAAAAGAGTAATCATCTGCCAGACTATAGGCATATTATTCAATCACATAACACAACATACTCTCTGGTAAGAAATTATTACTCATATGTTAAAAACCATGTTGTATGTTCAGCATAATCACGTCACATGGAATAGTTTGGAAACCTTAATTAATAAAACAAAATACAAGAAGAGTACCTCGTAGCACCAGCAACGAGCAACGTTCCGAATAGTATAGCCACCGCCACCTAGAAGCAAGAGTGGGACATTGAAGGATCTCATATATCTAACACACTCGGCATGACCTTTGATGGAAAGGTTGAAGCAGCCAAGCCTGTCCCCAGATAAAGAATCAGCACCACACTGGAGAACAACAGCACCAGGCCTAAAAATTTCCATCACCTTCCCAATGATGGGCTTGAACAAGTAATGGTAGCTCTCATCGTCAATCCCATCGTCCAACGGAACATTAAGGGAGTAATACTTCCCTTTCCCGTACCCAATATCGCGAATGTCTCCTGTGCCTGGGAAATAATCCCCAAACTTATGAAATGAAACCGTCATGACCCTGTCCGTCGTGTAAAACGCCTCTTCAACACCATCTCCATGGTGAATATCAATGTCCACATACAAAACACGCTGTTTGGCAAAACATCAACACTTTCAATAACCCATTTCAGAATTCTACGAAACAAAACTAACCCAACATGAAAAAAGTCAAAACCTTTAGACTATTAAATCAGATAAACTAACCTCATGCAGCTTAAGAAGCTCCAAGATTGCTAGCACAATATCATTGACATAGCAAAACCCAGAAGCTTCACACTTCTTAGCATGGTGCAAACCACCAGCCCAATTGATAGAAATGTCACAGAAGCCATGGTTGAGTTTCACAGCACCACCAACAGAGCCACCAGCATAAGTCTGGCAAAACGAATACAACCCATCAAAGACAGGGCAGTCCTCACCCACATTGAACCGCTTGAGTTGCCTCAGCTGGTCCTGCTGCGTTTCGGGGGTGATGTTTCGGAGAAACGAAACGTAATCGTCGGCGTGGAAGCGGCAGAGGTCCCGGTCTCGGGCCGGGTAGGGTTTGAGGACCTGCATATGTTGCAGAAGACCGTAGTGGGCGAGAAGGGCATGGGTCATGCGAATCCGGTGAGGCTTCATCGGGTGCCCTTGGCCATAATAGTAATTTCCGACTTCTGGGTCGTAGAAATAACTCACCTTTCTCTTCACTCCGTCTGGACCCGACGCTAAAGAGTTGCCGCCGGTGTCCATCTTCAACCAAAACCCAGAGCTTTTTTCAGCCAAAAATCAGAGCTTTTTTCTCAGATTGGTTTTTGGGTTGTGGGTTTTAAATCGGCGGGTAGGGCATCAAACGAAATTAATTTGCTTTTATAAAGTTTGTTTACTTATATATGCTTTATATAACACGAAAAGGAGATAGCTTGGTTTAAACTGAATTTAGAGAGAGAGAGAGAGAGAGAGAGAGAGAGAGTGAGAGTTACCTGGTTGATGTTTAGAGCGCTGCAAAGACAGAACAAGAAGAAGTGCTTCTGTTTGTTCTTTGTTGTTCCCTCCTCCTAAATTCGTAGGTTGTTGGTCTTCTTGTATTTAAAGTGCTCTAAACCAAATGGGAGTAGGAAGTTTGGATATGCTTCTTCTAGCTTTCTATCAAAGAGTTTACTTGCAATTGAAAATAAATATTATTATTTTTTGGGTTCTAATATTTGTACTTTTCATATGTTGGTAAATAGAAGAGGGTGAGTTAGAATTTTCAGGTTAATATAGCACAAGGAAATTATGAATATTTATTATTTTTTGCCTCCAATGATAATAAGGACAAGGAGAATACCATCCATTAATATTACTTTCTAGTCTATATCTTATTTATTTTCTTTGAAAATCTAGCTTATATCTTATTACTATTAGTTGTTCTTTTCGTGTTTCTTTTCAAGGAAATTAATTATTATTATTATTATTATTAAATATGGGTTTTCCATATTTTTTTTAAAACGACTTTTTCAGTGAAAAACAAATAAAGAAAAGGTCTTTAGAAGTGTCCGGCCCAATAAATAAATGGACTGCATTTCAGCGAGCAATGGACCTAGAAAATAGGAACCTGGCGTTTTAGAGCAATGAGGCTTGAAATTCCTTCTTGGGTTGATGAGCCCGGTCTTGAGGACAAATGTGAATCCCGGGTCAGAGAGGAGCCTTGGCATTAATGACCAGTTGGGGAATTTAGGAAGAGTAGTATAAGCGATAGTCTACATTATAGGGGAGGGAGTTTTGAACCTGAGACCTCTAGTTTGCAAGTTAAGGCCTTTTTTCACTGGGCTAGACCCCGTTGGCCTTTGGGGTGGTGTTTGCCAACAAATAAGCTGTGATTGCTCTTTTTGATTCATTGTTACATTGTATCAGAGGGATCAAGAAAATCTAGACCAAAGAATTCATGTGGAGCTTGTGGTGCAAGAATGGCATGGGACTTCAGCACTTTTGCCTGACTTGCCTAATTCTAACCACAGCTCAAGGTTGAACCATTACACTTATGCTTTTGACTTTGTATACTTCATAAAGAATAAGATTTACAAGACCATAAGCATAGGATGGCTTACCTTCCCCCATTCATACTCTTGGAACCCCCAACAGTTATTACATGTATACATTCCTTATAAAATCTGGTGGCCAGAGGGGTTCTGTGCACTGAACCACTGCTTGATTTGAAGGGGATGGATCAGAAACTTGAATCGGGCGAAGTTTGCGTTACTGGGGCTTCTGGCTTTCTGGCATCTTCGCTTATTAAATGACTTCTCTTGTCCGGCTGCATGAAGTAGAGATTGTATTCTTTTTATGGAACAAATTTATATATGGTTTTATAAAACTATGGTCATCTAATTTATGCATGCATTCAAAGGAAACCAGAAGAAATTGGTGCATTTGTGGAGGCTGGAAGGAGCTAGGGAAAGACTCAGATTGGTGAAGGCTGACTTAATGGAAGAAGGCAGCTTGGATGATGCAATCTTGGGTGCCATGTTGTCTTCCACTCTGCTTCCCCTGTACTGAAACCTTCATCTGATCCAAAAGCATATTTGAATATATTATATGTCCTTAAAATTAAGGGTAACTTTTTCTTGTCACTTATTTGGGATGCCATCTTGCCAAATTCTCAATGTGGATCATATATTCAAACAAAAGATCCACCTTATCATTTGTTCATATTCTAGCAAAATTGCATACAAAATATCTGGCAAGTGATCACAATTGGCCTAAAATTAATACCACTCTACACAAATTGAGTATTGTTGTAACTATTATTTGTCATCTGTGCACAGAAAGAAATCCTGGAACCAGCTGTTGAGGGTACATTGAATGTGCTCCATTCGTGCAAGAAAAATCTGTCTCTAAGGCGTGTGGTTCTCACCTCATCTTCTTCAGCTGTAAGGGTGAAGCCAGATGAGGATTTCGACTCCAATATACCACTGGATGAGTCGTCGTGGAGCTCTGTCAAACTCTGTGAGACACTAAGGTGGCATTCTGTCCTTGTTGAAGTTTAAATTCTGTCATGATCATCACCCAATTCACATCAAATATCCTATGGCCTTTGTGAATTCAAAGTAACTTTGAATGCTGCCCTTTTTATATCTAATTCTAACAGCTGCAAAGCAAAGCCATGCAGAACTATAATGATCTATGCTAGAACATTACTTAAGCTCCATATTTGGTTATGGTATGTACATTATATATAATCCATGTGACTGATTAACCTAACTATTACAAAAGATTTGGTACCCTTTATCGAAAATTTTAGCTGAGAAGGTGGCATGGGATTTCTGCAAAGAAAATGGGATTGATTTGGTAACTGTTCTGCCCTAGTTCGTGATCGGACCTAGTCTGCCACCAGATTTATGTTCTACTGCATCAGACGTACTTGGCCTGCTTAAAGGTACTCATTCTTGGTTTAACTACTAATTTCGTTTATACGATTGTTAAGCGCCGACTTGTTTGATCAATTAAGCAGGGGAAACAGAGAAGTTCAAGTGGCATGGAAGGATGGGATATGTTCACATTGATGATGTTGCACTTTGCCACATCTCAGTTTATGAGCATGAAAGTGCTCATGGTCGATACATTTGCAGCTCAACAGTTTTGGACAACAATGAGTCGGCTTCCTTGTTATCCAAGCAATATCCTTCCTGACCTACCAATCATGATATCAAAAATATTGAGCTTCAGATTCTATGTAAACATTTTTTATGTTTGTCTATAGAACTTCGGGTTCTTGCAAATTTATCTCATATATATATATATATATATATATATATATATATATATATATATATAGAACTTCAGGTTCCATGAATTAAATTCCAAATAAGCACACATAACCAATGAACTTCAGGTTCATGATATTCCTTAAAATTTAGATATATTCGAAGCCATGTGGATTCAATAATGAATTAATAATAGTGCTTTGAATTCCAGAATTACATTTATGTAAATGTTCTCAAAACTTCTGGTTTTGGATTACACATAATTAAACATCATAACTGAGATGTTTGAATTTCATGTCATATTTTGAATTTCTGATTCATACATATAAAATACTGAAATGAAATAAATTAAATACAATAATAAAAGTAAGACAATAATTAAACTGATGTAAAATAAATTGTTGAAACTTCTGGTTTATCATTTAATTGCTCTTTCATGAGTTTAAGAAACTGCAAGTCCCTTTTTGTATGTACTAACAGTTCACCCAAAATGGTTACTATTCATGTATAATACATTTGCCAGCATATTTACTATTCATGTGTACGACACTATTACATTATCAAGGAGCTTCAGGTCCTGGTTTATATGTCAAGGATCTTCAGGTCCAATTACTTTTTCACAAATATAGTTCCAGAGAATTGTCATCTCTCATATTATTATCATTATCATCATCAAGGATTTTCATGTCATGATGTAGTTGTCTGATAAGAATTAAGGAACTTTTGGTCTTGATTTGCGTATGCTGTAAAATTCATCATAACGCACAATTAATTCATAAAATAAATTGCTATAAATGGCTTGTAAATAAATTGTTGGTATGGACATACTTTAAATAAAGGTAAATGTGGGGATAAAACCGCCACCTAATTGAAAAAGCATCTTTTGGCCTTTTTTTCATGAATTTAGGGATTGCTGGCCCTTTATTATATATTGAGGATCAAGATCTTTAGGACTCAACCTCCCCCTTTTTTTTGTGTTTTTTTTTATAGCTCCATCATTTAAAAAAAGAAAAAAGAAAAATAAAAGAAAAAGAAAAGAAAAGGGAGCTTTAGTAGTATACCCAAAATAAGGGATGAAATTTAAATAAAAATAATAATTAAAAAAAAACCCCCCCCATATGGAATGCATTTTAGAAATATACCCATAAATCATTTACTATATAAAAAATGAGTGTTGAAGTTTCTATAAATTAAATGACTGCCATTGATTAACTTAAAATCTGCCCAACACAAAAAACTCAACCAAGAAAACCCAAATCAAGCCTAGTAAGTCTAAAGTACATTGTTAATACCATGTTATAGAAATATATTGTTAATACCATGTTATAGAAATACATTGTTACATTTCATACCAAAAAACTAAAAAATAGCCAAAAAATAGCATAGCAAGACATTCGATATCCTTTGCAAAAACCACCTCCAATTGTCTATGGTTTCACCAGAAACAATCGCAAAGGCAAAAGGAAATACCTTTACAAGAAAAAAAGTACACTATTAATACTATTATGCATATCATAAACTTCAAGTGCACAACTTTATATAGATCAAAATATAGAGCATGATTTGTTACTGAAAATATGTTAATCGGGGTTGGCATCGAAACCAAAGAACCGATCTACTGAACCAAACCGAACCTTAAAAAACCGCAAAAAACCATGTTGACCAAAAAGTCAAACCTAATTTAAAAAATCGAACTGAACTGGTTCTATACCCCCACAAATAGAACATGCCAAATTAAAAAATATATAATTTTAATATTTATTTATATCTAGTGCTATATTTTTAATCTCATAACTAATATTTACCCAAATTCAATTTCAAAATATCTCTCTTTTCTAGCCTCAATATTTCTTTTTGTATGAAATTGGATAATTTGTTAATTTTCAAGCCAAAAAAATAAAATTTCAGGTGAAATTTGTATTAAAAAAATAATTATATGGTTCAAAACCTAACAGGACCAAAATCGGTTCCACTCGAACCAGACAGTTTTATAAATTTTTTGGTTATAATCAGACCGAATAGAACTGAGTAAATAGTATCAGATTCGGTTCCAATTTGAGGCAAAAACTGGTCAAACTGAACCATGCCCACTCCTATATGTTAGTACTATGTTATAAAAGTATACTATTAATACTATGTCATAGAAATCCACTCAGTTGCAAGTATGAACAATATGAGAAGCAACATGCAACCAAATAAACAAATTCATTCAGCTCACAAAAATGGAAATTCGAAAATAAAATTATGCATGCATTAATTCCATTGAGAAGCTACAATTCACAAAACGCAACTAAAATCAAAATACCAAAAACTAATAAGAACAAAAACATTAGGATAAGGTAGTGAAGCAACAGTACCTGAGTCGATAAAAGAACCCAAATTCCAGTTTGAGATCAAATCATCGATAGCGATTTTGCTCTGCACCTCTTGATTGAAGCTAAAGCTCAAACAATCAATTGTTTCAGCTCAACAAGTTCTCACAGCAGTTCAGAATTCAGAGTCCAGCAACCAAAGAGCTGAATGCAAGGCAAAGAGTGAAATGACAACGTTTTCAAGCTCTCAAAAGCTTACATTGATCCCCAAATAACTATACTATTAGCAAGAGCATGAGGAGAGGATCGAAATCCATACCTGGATCGACAAGAATGGTCTCCAAAGCCGTCAAAAACAGTATCGGAATTCGAAACCCTCGAAGGTTCCTGGAGCTTGTGACAGCCCAGAGAGGCTGGGCTGGCCGAGGTTGGGCTCGAGCATGGTTCGCCGACTTCCTCTGCTAATTTTTCGACCGGTCACTCATCTAGCCGTGGCCGGAGCACCAAGATCACCAGCAAAAACTGGCCGACCTAGTTTCCGCGAAGAACGAGAGACGAGATAGAGAGAGAGAGTCGGGGGTGGAGAGAGATGCACCAGATTTTTTAAATATGAATTCAACACCAAAGGGTAAACTCAGAAATCAAATATTAAGTAAACCCAAAAAAAATAGATGGCAATAATATGGTGTATTTATAAAGTCTATTTCATATAAGATATGATGTGTCATAGAGTCAGTTTCATGTATGACTTTTCTATGATTCTATAACTAAAAATGAGTTTCTTTATAGTTATGTATAAAAAAAAATTCCATAGAGTGTAACCAATCCTCTCATATGAATGTCAGTCATAAATATATATATATATATATATAATTGATAGAAGTAATCGTGGTTCTAGTTTGATATATATATATATATGTAAAAACTTTATAACTTATTATTATATGGTACTAATTTTTCAATTTTTTTTTATTTACTTACACTCCATTTTTTTAAAATTGTATGTTTTCACTCTTCTTTTGTTCACTTGCACTTTATTTTTTTTAAATTGCATGTTCTCACATTTTTTTGTTTACTTGCACTCCTTTTTATCTTATAGTAAAAAATTTTAAAAACTAAAAGGGAATGTAAAAATCACCACCCTCATTATATAAAGTAAGATTATATATTATCATTATATTAAATATAGAATAGAAGTATCGCCAGAAAGCTTCTGGCAGTCATATCAAAAGCTGCTGAAAGCTTTTCCACCCTGTTTTTCTGGTGGGTTCTGATCAACACCAAGATGCAATAGAATACTATATATTTATCATTGATCTTTGTGCAGGATATCACACATCCTCCTTGAAGCAATAATTTCATAAGCAAAGTGGATGAATCTGCACAAGCTCCTCCAGCACACCATTACTCGATTTTAATGATCAATATGAATATATAATATTATAGATATAATAATGTAATAAACTATCAAGATAAAGACAAGTGGAGGACTTATCTCTGAGATAGTCGGCAAGAATTATTTTTCCTTGTTTTGTGCCTTGGCCCTTTCAGTAGCATCTAGCTCTTGAGCAGACCACAGTTCTCCACCAATGCTTCAGTCTCCATCCCTGGTAAGTCTCTCTTTGGAAGAAGTATGGCTTTTGTGTTGTGGTTTCATGAGAGGTAGAGAATGAAACAATGTGTTTATCTGGATTGTGTGTTCTTTAACCCTTTCTTTTCTTGTAAGTTGTATGTCTGTAGATATTTTAAGAGAGGACTATATCATCTGCTGCAGTTGCAGAGATTAGTAGCTAAGACTTGAGATAGAAAGGTAATTAAGCAGGGGGGTTTGATCAGAGAATTCAGCTAGTATTTTGAAAGCGTATTCGTGCTGATCACGTATTATAAAACTAAGAGAATTGAGAGAGAGTTTAAGAGAGTATAGATAGAGAGCCATAGAAATTCCCTAGGCTTGTTTTTCTTCTTCTTGTTCTGCTTTCTCATTAATCTTAGAGGCCTATTTATAGGCATAGGAAAATACATAAAAATTACTACCATAACATGCTTAGGTTTGGTAGGTTTACATAGACAGTTGGTGGGCACCCATCTTTGGATTTACAACAAAAACGACTTTTTCAGTGAAAAACAAACAAAGAAAAGGTCTTTAGAAGTGTCCGGCCCAATAAATAAATGGACTACATTTCAGGGAACAATGGATCTAAAAAATAGGAACCTGGCGTTTTAGGGCATTGAGGCTTGAAATTACTTCTTGGGTTGATGAGTGCGGTCTTGAGGACAAATGTGAAACCCAGATTAGAGAGGATGAAGAGGCTATAATGAGGAGTTTAAAGTGAGGAGGTCAATCTCACCATCAACAAATGTAAAAAAATCATGGGACTTAAAACATTTTAAATGTTTTGATTGTAGGATTGGTCTCCTCAAATAGCCTCATCACTTTAAACTCCTCATTGTAGCCTCTCTCCAGAGAAGAGCCTTTGCATTAATGACTAGTTGGGGAGTTTAGGAAGAGTAGGTCACTCATTCAAACTACACAGAATTTCATTGGTTAATAGGAAACTTTGGCCAATCATTAGGTGGTTTTATTTATTTTTAGTACAAGTGATAGTCTAAACTATAGAGGAGGGGGTTTCGAATATGAGACCTCTAGTCTGCAAATCAAGGCCCCTTTCCAATGGGCTAGACCCCGTTGGCCTTTAGGGAGGTGTTTGCCTCTAAATATGCTGTGATTGCTCTCTTTGATTCATTGTTATATTGTATCAGAGGGATCAAGAAAATCTAGACCAAAGAATTAATATGGAGCTTGTGGTGCAAGAATGGCATGGGACTTCAGCACTTTTGCCTGACTTGCCTAATTCTAACCACAGCTCAAGGTTAAACCATTACACTTTTGCTTTTGACTTTATTTACTTCACAAAGAATAAGATTTACTAGACCACAAGCATAGGATGGCTTACCTTCTCCCATTCATACTCTTGGAACCCCCAACAGTTATTACATGTATACATTCCTTATAAAATCTGGTGGCCAAAGGGGTTCCGTGCACTGAATCACTGCTTCGTTTGAAGGGGATGGATCAGAAACTTGAATCGGGCAAAGTATGCGTTACTGGGGCATCTGGCTTTCTGGCATCTTGGCTTATTAAACGACTTCTCTTGTCTGGCAATCATGTAACTGGAACTGTTAGAGACCCAGGTAACCCCCAAGTTAAAATCTGCATGAAGTAGAGATTGCATTCTTTTTATGGGACAAATTTATATATTGTTTTATAAGACTATGGTCATCTGGTTTATACATGCATTCAAAGGAAACCAGAAGAAATTGGCGCATTTGTGGAGGCTGGAAGGAGCTAAGGAAAGGCTCAGATTGGTGAAGGCTGATTTAATGGAAGAAGGCAGCTTTGATGATGCAATCTTGGGGTGCCATGGTGTCTTCCACTCTGCTTCCCCTGTACTGAAACCTTCATCTGATCCAAAGGCATGTTTGAATATATTATGTCCTTAAAATTAAGGGTAACTTTTTCTTGTCACATATTTGGGATGCCATGTTGCCAAATTCTCAATGTGGATCATATATTCAAACAAAAGATCCACCTTATCATTTGTTCATATTCTAGCAAAATTGCATAACAAATATCTTGCAAGTGATCACAATTGGCCTACAATTAATACCACTCACACAAATTGAGTATTGTTGTAACTAGTATGTGTCATCTGTGCACAGACAGAAATCCTGGAACCAGCTGTTGAGGGTACATTGAATGTGCTACGTTCGTGCAAGAAAAATCCGTCTCTAAGGCGTGTGGTTCTCACCTCATCTTCTTCAGCTGTAAGGGTGAGGCCAGATGAGGATTTCAACTCCAATATACCACTGGATGAGTCGTCGTGGAGCTCTGTAGAACTCTGCGAGACACTTCAGGTAGCATTCTGTCCTTGTTGAAGTTTAAATTCTGTCATGATCATCACCAAATTCACATCAAATCCTATGGCCTTTGTGAATTCAAAGTAACTTTGAATGCTGCTCTTTTTATATCTAATTCTAACAGCTTCAAAGCAAAGCAATGCAGAACTATAATGATCTATTCTAGAACATTACTTAAGCTCCATATTTGCTTATGGTATGTACATTATATATAATCCATGTGACTGATTAACCTGCCTGTTACAAAAGATTTGGTACCCTTTATCGAAAATTTTAGCTGAGAAGGCGGCATGGGATTTCTGCAAAGAAAATGGGATTGATTTGGTAACTGTTCTGCCCTCGTTCGTGATCGGACCTTGTCTGCCACCAGATTTATGTTCTACTGCATCAGACGTACTTGGCCTGCTTAAAGGTACTCATTCTTGGTTTAACTACTAATTCCGTTTATATGATTGTTAAGCACCAATTTGTTTAAACAATGAAGCAGGGGAAACAGAGAAGTTCAAGTGGCATGGAAGGATGGGATATGTTCACATTGATGATGTTGCACTTTGCCACATCTCAGTTTATGAGCATGAAAGTGCTCATGGTCGATACCTTTGCAGCTCAACAGTTTTGGACAACAATGAGTTGGCTTCCTTGTTATCCAAGCAATATCCTTCCTTACCTATCCCCAAAAGGTTTGATTTTTTTTCCCCAAATATAAGTAGTAAAAACAACAAATAGATAGCTAAGTTAGTCTACATGGGAATTAAATTAAGTAAAAGATTGAAAATAATTTTATGGAAAACAGAAGATTACGAACTGTTATTAAGATTAATGTGTACATGGGAATTTTCAGGTTTGAGCAACTAGGCAGGCCAAGGTATGATTTGAACACCTCAAAGTTGAAGAGTCTAGGGTTCAAGTTCAAGACTATCCAAGAGATGTTTGATGATTGTATTGCCTCTTTGGTTGAGCAAGGTCATCTTACTCTCTAGTTACGCTCTCTCAAATATCGTGTTCCGACAAAGTTCGAGTTCATGTTATCAATACTTTATCAATAAAGTTTTGAGAATTTTCTCACCTCTAGTTGATTCCAAATTATGCGTAGCGCTTACTATCTTGAGAATTTTCTCACTTCGTGTAGATGAAGAGATACCAAGTTTGAATTCCAAAAATAACTAGAAAATAAAAACTTGGTTTTAACAATTTTTTTTTCTCTCTTTGATTTTGGGCTTTAGTTTGTTTATATATTTTGGGCCAAAATGTTGTAGGGTCCATTTCTTTAATGAAGTTACCTTTGCAAAATTTTAGAAAAAAAAAATGAAAAAAATAGTTACGCTAAGTGCTGTTGAGAGAATTCAGGTAGGTAGGTATCTCATCCTTTGTTTTGAAAGCAACAACAATGGAGTATTATAAAACTCAAATTCAAATAATGAGGATGGTTGTCAGGTGTTTACCTCCTAATATATATGATGCTTACAATGCACAGCTCATTCATCTCAGTAGAGTAAATTCCTTACTTTCTGCCACTACTTAAAGAGGAAATTCATCTCAAAGGTCGGATCGAATACCGGAACGTGTGCAAAAATGTCTTCCTATCCCCAAAATAATTTGGATTTGAATACTGCTCTCCATGAGCAAATACTGTTAGCAGTGAGATCAGACAGTGGTGCTGTCAATGACTCTCTGATTGCTAGCATGCAGTGTGCTGCATCAATTACCAGTTTGGGACAACGGCTGCTGGCATTTCTTTCTTTATCAACATGCGATGTGGGGCATGTAGGCATCCATTAATCAATATTAATTATTTGAGAATAAGACCCTTGGTTTTTTTTCTTCCTCTTAAAAGCAAAAGAAAAGTTGTTTGTCCCTCTTTTTAACCGGATTTCTTCCATTTGGGGTTTTTATGATAATGTTTTAATGAGGCCACTTTGTAGAGAAGTCAAAGCTCTGGTTATATTGACGTCGCTTCTTTATGAATGAAATTATGAAAGTTCTCATTTTGATAATAATAAAAAAAGTTGTTTGTCTCTCATGTCTTTCTAATTTTATTTATTTTCATGGGGGTTTGCTTGTTTCTATCACGAATAAATTATACGTTTCCTTGTGGCTCATATCAGAAGACAAAAGATGTACTAAAAATATATGAATATATATATCCCTTTCTCCAATAGCTTGCCGTGAAAACTCCACAAGCCACTGATTGAAGGGGAGATGATTTTGCTGCAAAAATTAAGGGATTTAGCAATTAGATTTACTATAATTCCTTTCCTTTCACAATCAAGCCTGAAAAAGGAAGTTGAATGCCGAATCTTGGGCACTAAAAAAAGTTGTGTCGTTTTCAATCATTTTGTTTATTCTGTTTTTAGTCCAAGGCTAGCAAAAAGCTAGTAATTTGGTCTTTGATTATATTATTACCCTATAAGTATAAGTTCCTTGTGTAAATGTTCTCAAAACTTCTGGTTTTGGGCATAACTGAGATGTTTGAACTTCATGTCATATTTTTAGTAACTGCAGGTCCCTTTTTGTATGTAGTAATGGTTCACCCAAATTGGTTACTATTCATGTATAATACATTTGCCAGTATATTTACTATTCATGTGCACGACACCATTACATTATCAAGGAGCTTCAGGTCCTGATTTATATGTCGAGGATCTTCAGGTCCAATTACTTTTTTGCAAATATAGTTCCGAAGAAACTGTCATCTCTCATATTATTATCATTATCATCATCAAGGATCTTTATGTCCTGATGTAGTTGTATGATGAGGATTAAGGAACTTTTGGTCCTGATCTGTATATGATGTTAACGCACAATTAATTCATAAAATAAATTGCTATAAATTGTTTGTAAATAAATTGCTAGTATGGACGATAAACCTTCTGCATACTTTAAATAAAGGTAAATGTGCTTATATGAGTACTAATTATACTTCATACTTTAAATATAAATAAATAAATGTGGGGATAAAACCGCCACCTAATAGAAAAAGTATCTTTTGGCCTTTTTTCATGAATTTAGGAACTGTTGGCCCTTTATTATATATTGAGGATCAAGATCTTCGAGTCTCAACCCCCCCTCCTTTTTTGTGTGTTTTTTTTTATAGCTCCATCATAAAAATAAAAAAAATAAAAAAAATGGGAAGCTTTAGTAGTATACCCAAAATAGGGGCTAAAATAATATAATAAAAAATAAATAAATAAACCCCCATATGGAATGCACTATAGAAATATACCCAAAGATCATTTATTACATAAGAATTGAGTGTTGAAGTTCCTATAAATTACATGACTACCATTGATTAACTTAAAACAACCCTAACACAAAAACTAAAAAAAAACACAAAACAAGCCCAGCAAGCTCGAAGTACATTGTTAATATCATATCATAGAAGTACATTGTTAATACCATGTTATAGAAGTACATTGCTACTATTTCATACAAAAAACTATATAAAAAAAACCCAAAAAAGCCCAGCAAGACATTTGATATCCTGTGCATAAACCACCTTTAATTGTCCACAATTTCACTAGAAACAATCGCAAAGGCAAAAAGAAATACCTCTACAAGAAAAAGAAAAAAAAGTACACTGTTAATACTATGTCATAGAACTATCTTCTTAGTAAAAATCACATTATGCATATCATAAACTTCAACTATATATTGAGCAAAATGCAGTGCATGCTTTGTTACTGAAAATCTATTAATACTATGTTATAGAAATCAACTCAGTTGCAGGGTATGAACAATATAACAACTACATCATTTCATTTGCATAATAAGTACGATAAAAGTGTACAACTCAATACCACTCAAAATCAATACTCAACAATGATAAAAGCACAAATGATGACTCTATCTTAACAATAGTTGCAAGTCCTGACATTCCGAATGATGAAGCAACCTTGGAAGCTAAAGAGTGCGCTGAGGACAAGGTACAAAAGACATCTATGACAGATGATCATGAAGAAAAAGATGGACTTTAAGTAGCGAAATGAGGCCCCTGCACTCCACTTGTCACACAAATAGTGAGACACACTTGCCGGAAGTAGGAAATCCTGATATATTCGAAGTATATCTTGAAATTGGGTCAGAAGACATCATCAAGGAGAGTCCAAAAGAACCTGAGTACCAAAATGAATTCCTTGAGGAAACTCCCAAAGCCAGTAACACTGCAAGTGAAATAGTTAACGATGATGAAAATTCATAACAACCTTTTGGCAGTCCATGCATGAAGATAGTAACAAGGGAATCACAACAGCGTGGTTTGTTTGACATACTTTTCCTGCCAATATCAAAGAGTTACAAATAGTAACAAGGAAATCGCCTAAGAAGCATCAAAATGAAGATAATAAGTTATGTTGATAAGCATTCCCAAATTGTCCATCCCTCCATCTATTTCCAATTTGACATATAAATTGTCTAAATTTTTTTAGCTAAATTAAGCAAGTCATTAATGAACTCAAAGAGATAAAAGCATTCCCAAAATTGCTCAGTACATATATTCATACATACATGCATATATATATATATAGCATGAAAGTTGGATCGGTTGGTTTTTTATTCTACTGCCCCAATTTCTATGAAATAAAGGATATCATTAAATGAATCTTAACTTATACGACTCCAGATATTCTATAAGATTATCTATGGATTAAAAGTAGACTTGGTCACGCTAAACTCCAAATTGCTCAGTAAATATATTCATACATACATATTGATTGGTGAATTGTTGAATTAAAGGTAGACTTGGCTTAAATTACTTGTCACATCCCGGGATCGGCTCCACCGTAGCGTGATATTGTCCGCTTTGGGCCTCCCTCTCTGCCTTCATGGTTTTGTTTTTGGGAACTCACGAGCAACTTCTCAATGGGTCACCCATCCTAGGATTTTAGCCCCAACTCGCTTAACTTTGGAGTTCCCATGAATCTGAAGCCAGTGAGCTCCTAAAAGGCTTCTTACTAAATGGAGGCGGTCATGTACATATAAGGCACATCACCCCCTCTCCGTTGGTCGATATGGGATGTTACATTACTAAATTTTCTGAAAAATTCAGCAGCAAAATCAACAATTTGCAATTGAAAATTTACCAACATAACTAGATGATAATGCAAAGCAGGAGAAGCAACATGCAACCAAATAAACAAATTCTTTCAGCTCACAAAATGGCAATTCGAAAATAAAATTATAAAATTCAAACCACATGCATGCATTAATTCCACTGAGAAGCTACAATTCACAAAACGCAACAAAATTAAAACACCAAAAACTAATAAGAACAAAAACATCAGGATAAGATAGAGAAGCAACAGTACCTGAGCCGATAAAAGAACCGAAATTCAGGTTCGAGATCAAACCGCCAATAGCCATTTTGCTATGTACCTCTTGATTGAAGCTAAAGCTCAAATAATCAACTGTTTCAGCTCAACAAGCTCTCACACCATTTCAGAATTCAGAGTCCAGCAACCAAAGAGCTGAATGCAAGGCATGAAGTGAAACGATAGAGTTTTCAAGCTCTCAAAAGCTAAAATTGATCCCAAATAACTATACTATCAGCAAGAGCATGAGGAGAGGATCAAAATCCATACATGGATCGACGACAACGGTAGCCGGAGCCGACGAAAACGGTGTCGGAAAACTCGAAACCCTCGAAGGTTCCTGGAGTTCGAGACAACCCAGAAAGGCTAGGCTCGCAGGGGCTAGGATCAAGAGTGGTTTGTCGGCCTCCTCTAGTAATTCTCCGACTTGTCACGCGTCTAGCTATGGCCGGAATACCAAGATCACCAGCCAAAACTCGTCGGCCTAGTTTCCACAAAGGAAGAGAGACAAGACAGAGAGAAAGAGTTTGGGGTAGAGAGAGACGCCACATTTGTATACCACATTCCTATACCATCTTATGTGGCAACTGAGGTGGACATCCACATCAATTAAAATTATTTAAGATTTTCTTTTCTTTTATGATTTATTCCAGCATTTGTTTTTCTAATTGTTTTAATTAAAATACACTTCATTGATTTAATTGATGTGACATATAATATGGACATGCCACATCATGTGGTATAGAAATGTGGGATAAAAATGTGGTAAGTATAGCATTACTTTTTTTTAAATATGAATTCAACACCAAAGGGTAAATCCGAAAATCAAATATTAAGTAAACCCAAAAAAAGATAGCTGGCAATAATAGGGTGTATTTATAAAGTCTATTTTATGTAAGATATGATGTGTTTATAAAGTCAATTTCATGTAGGGTTTCTCTATGATTCTATAACTTAAAATGGGTTTCTTTATAGTTATGTATAAAAAAATTACATAGAGTGTAACCAATCCTTTCATATGAATGTCAGTCATAAATATATATATATATATATATATATATATAAAATGGACAGAAGTAATCGTGGTTCTAGTTTTATACATATACACATTTATATATAGGGCAATTCTATATGAACCTCATTAATTGCTCTTTACACCCCATAATTTTTTACACCCCACTAAATTTTAATAAAATTTCAAATTACTCATTATACCCCTTTTTTTTTCCTAAATTGCCCTTATGAACCCCATTCCCTAACTCATTGTGTAAACCTCATTCCAAATCAGACACCACCCACCGAAAACCCCCTTCCCTTTCAACACACCCCATTTGAAATCAAACCCCACCCCATCTGATATCAAGCCCCACCCTATCGAAAATTCCCTCATCTTGCAAATACACCCCGTCGCAGAACCCATCCCTTTGCAAAGACCCATCGCACAACCCAGCAAACCCCCATCCCCGTCGTCGGTGGCCAGGTCCGCTTTCGATCCCTCACCTTCTCTTATCTCGCTCATCGATCCGAGTATATGAACTTTGATTTGTGTTTCTTTTTATCTGCTCTGTAACTTAGCCCCCGAGTTTGACCAAAGCTTAATGCTTCGAACTAGTTTATACTCGTGGTGCTTAAAAACAAATTAATTGCTTTTATGCGTTTCGGTTGAACTGCTAGGAATTGTCTACGCTAAGTGGAACATGCTTGCTAATTGGGAAGAAAAAAGAAACAAAACTTCTGGAATATGATAGCGAATTTTAGAAGAATTGGTTGAAGTACTGAATTTGTTGGGATGCTAATATATAATGTTTGCTTATATTTTTGTTCTGTCGTGCAGAGTTGAGGGAAGTCTTCTGCCTTGGAGAGCATTGTTGGGAAGGACTTCTTACCACGTGGTTCTGGTAAGACTATTGAAGCCCGAGAAATCTTAGTTATTTGTGGCAGTTTGGTCGTCTGATTTTGATTTTGATTTGATTTCAACGTTGTGTATGGTTCGAACCTGGTTTTATGAAACTGGATTCTAGTTTCGGTGGATTACCACCGAAATGGTTACATTGATTCAGTGGTAGTCCACCGAATTTGAACCTGAGTTGTACGAAAATTTATTTTACTTTCGGTGGGTTACCACCGAAATTGTTACCTTGTTTCGGTGGTTGTCCACCAAATCTGTTTCTATTTTTCAGGAGACTCCCACAGAATTTATTTCAGTTTTTCAGTGGTACTTTACTGAATATGTGTTCTTTTTTTAGTGATAGTCCACCGAATTTATTTCCTTTTTTCAGTGATCATCTACCGAATACGTTACTGAGTGTGTACTTAATATTGTTTATTTTTAGATATGAAGAGGACTCGTAGAGGTACTACTGAGGCTTCATCATCCCGACCTAATAGACACCGTCCCATGGCCTCAACGAGAAGACACAGAGCGGCTCCTCAATATCACTTTGAGGATACTACAAAGGTTGAAGATGTAGTTCCTACTCATAATAGTAATGTTGATGCAGAGGTTGAAGATGTAGCTGCTACTCAGGATAGTAATGTTGAGGTACATGCCGAGCCTATTGAGCCATCTGAGTAGGTCCCATTGATCCATCTTTACTTACGAGTTTTAAAACTCACATAGCAGCTGCAATTTGGAATAACCAGGTAAGTCGTTTTACTGTGACAATAGAAGGTAGAATATAAGTCTGGTTCATGGTAATTAACCTTAATTTTGTTTTTTTGTTTAACTAGGAACGTGAGTCCCTTAGGTGCATGTCGAAAACATCTACCCTTCGCGAGTGGAATTGGTGGGGTAATCCAAATAATGGTATATTCAAAGGGTACATTTAGAGGTCTGGATTAGAGCAACTTATTAGGTGTTCTTATCGGAATGCTGATAAGATTGTGGTATCTACATTTGTTGAGAGGTGGCATCCCGAAACGAACACCTTTCACATGCCTTTTGGTGAGATGACCATCACATTGGATGATGTGTCATCTCTTTTAGGCATTCTTGTGTCTGGTGCAGCAGTTGCTCCTCTTGGAGATGACGACGACACAAATTTTGAGTTGTTAGTTAAGTACTTATTAGTGACTGATGAAGAGGCTACTGAACAATTGCACCAATACAGTGATGAGTATGTGAGTTTGTCATGGTTACGGGCGCGATTCTCCAATGTTTCAGACACATTTTCCTTGTTCACAAGCCCATCGAAATAATGCATCTCTACCATTGAATATCTACACATAAAACTCATATTATTTAAATATAAAATTTGAAACATTAATACCACGTTAATGATACTAAAAAGGATTTCAGACAAATAATTTTTCCAAATAAGTTGTGAATTGATCACTATAGTCCATTACACATTCTGTTCCCACATTGTTGCGTTCAGTAGGGGCGTCACCTTGATTTTGTTCCTTCAATGGGAGTAAGATCAAAATAGCTTGGATTAAATTTGTGGTCGGCAATAAGTTACTGAAAAATAAATAAATTTCGGTTGGATGCCACTGAAACGCAGGTAAAATTTCGATAGTAAACCATTGAACTACGTTCCATCTTACGGTGGATCTCCACCGAATATTAAGTTGCTGACCGGTCAAACCCAACCGAAAACGGTGCAACGTTTCGGTGGCATCCCACCGAATTTACCTGTCACGTTCGGTACTGATGTACTGAATGCAACCAGCGACCGATGTGAAATACTAAACTTGCAAAACGCCAAAAGATAAACTCGTACCTCATTCGAAGCCTCTCTAACTTCAATTTCACCCTTCATGAATAAATACAAGATATTTTTTCACCAATATAAACTTATAAATCTATGGTTTAGGGTTTAGGAACATGATAGTTTGAGAAAAAAGTCAAACTAGGGTTGCAGGAACATATATGGGGTGTAGTGAGCAATTTTAATTTTAATTTTAAATTTTTTTGTCCTTAACGGTAATTGTGTACAAGGATAAAATATGTTATTATATTTAAAATTAATATGGGATGTAAAGAGCAAATAATGGGGTGCCAATAAAATCACCCTTATATACATCCATATGTAAAAACTATGCAACTCATTAGGTAGTGGGCTCTACCATTTTCGGCTCCATTCTCGACTTTACAACATTTCCACCTTTTTTTTTTGGTGGGTTCTGATCTTTGTGCAGGATATCACGCATCCTCCCTGAGGCGATAATTTCATAAACAAAGTGGATGAATCTGCACAAGCTCCTCCTGTACACCATTACTTGCTTTTTATGATCAATATGAATATATAATATTATAGATATAATAATGTAATAATGTAATAAACTATCAAAATAAAGATAAGTGGAGGACTTATCTCTTAGATAGTCAGCAAGAATTCTTTTCCTTGTTTTGTGCCTTAGCCCTTTCAGTTAGCATCTCCCTCTTGAGCAGACCACAGTTCCACCAATGCTTCAGTCTTCATCCCTGGTAAGTCTCTCTTTGGTAGAAGTATGGCTTTTGTGTAGTGGTTTCATGAGAGGTAGAGAATGAAACGGTGATGTGTGTTTATCTGGATTATGTGTCCCTTTCTTTTCTTGTAAGTTGTATGTCTGTAGATATTTTAAGAGAAGACTATATCATCTGCTGCAGTTGCAGAGATTAGTAGCTAAGACTTGAGATAGAAAGGTAATTAAGCAGGGGGGTTTGATCAGAGAATTCAGCTAGTATTTTGAAAGCGAATTCGTGCTGATCACGTATTATAAAACTAAGAGAATTGAGAGAGAGTTTAAGAGAGTATAGATAGAGAGCCATAGAAATTCTCTAGGCTTGTTTTTCTTCTTCTTGTTCTGCTTTCTCATTAATCTTAGAGGCCTATTTATAGGCGTAGGAAAATGCATAAAAATTACTGCCATAACATGCTTAGGTTTGGTAGTTTACATACACAGTTGGTGGGCACCCATCTTTGGATTTACAACAAAAACGACTTTTTCAGTGAAAAACAAACAAAGAAAAGGTCTTTAGAAGTGTCCGGCCCAATAAATAAATGGACTGCATTTCAGCGAACAATGAACCTAGAAAATAGGAACCTGGCGTTTTAGGGCAATGGGGCTTGAAATTACTTATTGGGTTGATGAGTGCGGTCTTGAGGACAGCTGTGAAACCCAGATTAGAGAGGACAAAGAGGCTATAATGAGGAGTTTAAAGTGAGGAGGCTATTTGAGGAGATCAATCTCACCATCAACAAATGTAAAGAAATCAGGGAACTTAAACATTTTTAATGTTTTGATGGTAGGATTGGTCTCCTCAAATAGCCTCATCACTTTAAACTCCTCATTGTAGCCTCTCTCTAGAGAGGAGCCTTGGCATTAATGACCAGTTGGGGAGTTTAGGAACACTCATTCAACTACACAGAATTTCATTGGTTAATAGGTAACTTTGGCCAATCTTTAGGGTGGTTTTATTTTTTATTTTAGTACAAGCGATAGTCTAAACTATAGAGGAGGGGGTTTCAAACATGAGACCTCTAGTTTGCAAATCAAGGCCTTTTTCCACCGGGCTAGACCCTGTTGGCCTTTAGGGTGGTGTTTGCCTCCAAATAAACTGTGACTGCTCCTTTGATTCGTTGTTATATTGTATCAGAGGGATCAAGGAAATCTAGACCAAAGAATTAATATGGAGCTTGTGGTGCAAGAATGGCATGGGACTTCAGCACTTTTGCCTGACTTGCCTAATTCTAACCACAGCTCAAGGTTAAACCATTACACTTTTGTTTTTGACTTTGTTTACTTCATAAAGAATAAGATTTACTAGACCACAAGCATAGGATGGCTTACCTTCTCCCATTCATACTCTTCGAACCCCCAACAGTTATTACATGTATACATTCCTTATTAAACGACTTCTCTTGTCTGGCTATCATGTAACTGGAACTGTTAGAGACCCAGGTAACCCCCAAGTTAAAATCTGCATGAAGTAGAGATTGCATTCTTTTTATGGGACGAATTTATATATTGTTTTATAAGACTATGGTCATCTGGTTTATACGTGCATTCAAAGGAAACCAGAAGAAATTGGCGCATTTGTGGAGGCTGGAAGGAGCTAGGGAAAGGCTCAGATTGGTGAAGGCTGATCTAATGGAAGAAGGCAGCTTTGATGATGCAATCTTGGGGTGCCATGGTGTCTTCCACTCTGCTTCTCCTGTACTGAAACCTTTATCTGATCCAAAGGCATGTTTGCATATATTATCTGAGATTGTATATACGTCCTTAAAATTAAGGGTAACTTTTTCTTGTCACATATTTGGGATGCCATGTTGCCAAATTCTCAATGTGGATCATTTATTCAAACAAAAGATCCACCTTATCATTTGTTCATATTCTAGCAAAATTGCATACAAAATATCTTGCAAGTGATCACAATTGGCCTAAAATTAATACCACTCCACACAAATTGAGTATTTTTGTAACTATTATGTGTCATCTGTGCACAGACAGAAATCCTGGAACCAGCTGTTGAGGGTACATTGAATGTGCTACGTTCGTGCAAGAAAAATCCATCTCTAAGGCGTGTGGTTCTCACCTCATCTTCTACAGCTGTAAGGGTGAGGCCAGATGAGGATTTCGACTCCAATATACCGCTGGATGAGTCGTCGTGGAGCTCTGTTGAATTCTGCAAGACACTTCAGGTAGCATTTTGTCCTTGTCGAAGTTTAAATTCTGCCATGATCATCACCAAATTCACATCAAATCCTATGGCCTTTGTGAATTCAAAGTAACTTTGAATGCTGCTCTTTTTATATATAACTCTGACAGCTGCAAAGCAAAGCAATGCAGAACTATAATGATCTATGCTAGAACATTACTTAAGCTCCATATTTGCTTATGGTATGTACATTATATATAATCCATGTGACTGATTAACCTACCTATTACAAAAGCTTTGGTACCCTTTATCGAAAATTTTAGCTGAGAAGGCAGCATGGGATTTCTGCAAAGAAAATGGGATTGATTTGGTAACTGTTCTGCCCTCGTTCGTGATCGGACAGAGTCTGCCACCAGATTTATGTTCTACTGCATCAGACGTACTTGGCCTGCTTAAAGGTACTTATTCTTGGTTTAACTACTAATTTTGTTTATACGATTGTTAAGCACCGATATGTTTGAACAATTAAGAAGGGGAAACAGAGAAGTTCAAGCGGCTTGGAAGGATGGGATATGTTCACATTGATGATGTTGCACTTTGCCACATCTTAGTTTATGAGCATGAAAGTGCTAATGGCCGATACCTTTGCAGCTCAACAGTTTTGGACAACAATGAGTTGGCTTCCTTGTTATCCAATCAATATCCTTCCTTATCTATTTTTTTTTTTTTTTTTTTTCTTTCCCCAATATAAGTAGTAAAAACAACAAATAGCTAGCAAGCTAGTCTACATGGGAATTAAATTAAGTAAAAGATTCAAAATAAATTTCTGGAAAACAGAAGATTACCAACTGTTATTAAGTTTAATGCGTACATGTGAGTTTTCAGGTTTGAGCAACTAGGCAGGCCTAGGTATGATTTGAACACCTCAAAGTTGAAGAGTCTAGGGTTCAAGTTCAAGACTATCCAAGAGATGTTTGATGATTGTATTGCCTCTTTGGTGGAGCAAGGTCATCTTACTCAATCAGTCTAATTGCACTCTCTCAAATATCGTATTTCGTCAAAGTTCAAGTTCATGTTATCAATACTTTATCAATAAAGTTTTGAGAATTTTCCCACCTTTGGTCGATTCCAAATTGTGTGTAACGCTTGCTATCTTGAGAATTTCCCCACTTCACGTAGATGAAGAGGTAGGTACTAAGTTTGAATTCCAAAAATAACTAGAAAATAAAAAAATTCTCTTTGATTTTGGGCTTTAGTTTGTTTCTGTATTTTGGGCCTCTGTGTTGTAGGGTCCATTTCTTTAATGAAGTTACCTTTGCAAAATTTTAGAAAAAGAAAAAAAAGAAAAAAAATAGTGTCTTGAGAGCGAGGGGAGAAATAAAATCTTGTATTCATTTTTCTGGAGATTCTTTTTCTTGGTCCCCAACTGGGTTTTGGTGGATGAGAGACCACTCACAGCCACCACCACAAAAACGTTGGTAGCTCTAGACCGACATAATGACACGTGTTCACGTGATCTTTGAGTGCTCATACGGCTGCAAGTGTTGGCACGTGTCCATGACTGCCCCATGGAGACATGGACTTTTCTGGGCGTATGTAATGCTTGTAAGCATCACTACATGAATTCTGCTGTTCTTTGATCTTCACAGAAGGAACGACCAGATTTGATGGAAATGACATTGGAGAAAGATTTGTGGAGATCTGTCTCTTTTATCTTTTTCATTTTTGGCCAAAATGAAATGCATACGAGGTGGTCACAAAAGGTGTAAAACACAGTTCAAATTCGTGATGTTACGATGCATTCATATTATAACATATATTTTCGTAGCAATCGAATTTCGTTCGTAATCTCAAATCAAAGAGCTCATAAGTAGCAGTAGAATCATAGAGCACAAGCATGTGATAACTCATATCAAAGTTGACATTATAAGCATTGAGCTATAAGAGCACTTCCACCCACAATGGCTAAGTCTAAGGCAAGGGCAAGCAAAGGTTGTCACTATTCACGTGAATAGTGTCAGCATTTGCATTTGTGGTTCCACCCATGAGAGCTAAGTCTAGGGCAAGTCTAAGGCAAATACTATTCATATGAGATATGAGGAGATGAATTTGTATATAGTTTTTGGTGTGAGAAGTAAAGAATATGCCTAGGTATTTATTTAAAAAAAATTCTGGAATTTTTTGTTTTTTTTTCTTTTTATTTATTTATTTATTTTTATTTTTTTGGGTTGCTGACGTCATTATGACGTCAGCATTGCATCAGTTTGCCCTGGCAGCAGCTAGAGCTGAATTTGCCCTTGGGCCTGCCCAGGCTGGTGGAACCCACCATGAAACCAGGCTGCATCTGCTGCGCTGGAGGTGTCTTGGGCTCGCCAGGGCAGCCTTTCCCTCAGTTTGGGTATGGCGCTGGAGATGCTCTAATAAAATAGAACTAACCTCTGGTTATCTTTTAAACTAAAATCTAATCAACTATATTTGGTTTAATTAAACTAAATGTTTCATTACACTAATCAAACTTAGTTAAAATCAAACAAAAATTAAACTATAACAATCAAAACCAAAAAGTCAAAAGAAAACATTATTATCTTTTTCTTTCTTTCACACTAGACAGGGTGAGAATTTAATGTGAGCCTTTGACAAACTATACCTGGGATCATGATGATGAACAGTAGTATGAGTTGGAGCAACCCCTTGGAATGAAAATTTGCAATCAAAATAATTAATAGGTTGTTAATATGAGTTTTAGTTATGTTTTAATTCATCTTCATGTGCGAGTACAGTAGACACATGTGAATATATTCTCGGTTGTAAGTAAGAATTCCTCGTCATTGAGATGGATGAGTAATTAGTACAACTGAAAATGAAAATTTTATCGGCTAATCCGGTTCATTATGTGGACTCGAATACAAAGTTTTGTACCTGCGTGGAAGCTTACAAGCCCGTATTTATACTGTGGTCCTAGGCTAGTTGGCGTAGGCATTCTATAATGCACACATTTTGTACATCACCAAAACTACAAAACAAAATTTAAAAGTGATGGCGAAATCTATATATCCTCAAGAATAGTACTTTCACTGCTGGTTGTTTGTGGCCCCATGACTCTTCAAACTTGTTCCATCAGCATTGATTGAGGTCTCTGCAAATTCATGGACTTTTACTGGGGAAGAAAATGTGGAAATTTACAAAATATAATGCATTAAAATAAAAATAAAAAGTTCGGATAAATGGGCAAAAAGTCCATGGTCTCTGCACATTCGTACACACAATAAGCCTAGAAACCAAAGGCACTGATTGAAAGGTAACATTCATCATTTTGTGCATTCTCGATTGATATGGTTTGGGAGGCCATATTTATTGAGCAACCTGAGCAGCTCTCTCTCTCTCTCTCTCTCTCTCTTCCTATCTTTACAGCAATGTACTAGTCCCATATACAGAGAAAAAGCTCTGAGAACAAATAATTAGAGAAGTCTCGGTACTGATGAGATGGGAACAATTGCAGAAGCAGATTATGTAATTCAGTGTTGATGATTCTGGTCAAATCTACCATGTTTGCCAATTTGTGGGGGTTGGGTTTTGCTGGTTTCTTTGCTGTCAAAAAGCATTGAAGACTTGCTATTCTGAGACATCAAATTCCTTCAAGCAGGTCCCTTCATGCAAACTTTTCCCATGTTGTTTCTTTTGTAGCTAAATTCTCTAGCACATCATGTTTCTCTGCCTTATGGTAATTGAGTGAAACCAACCCTTTTGAGTTTCCAATGCACTTTCCAGTTAATAATAGCAATTCATGGTGAACTTTTTCTGGAGAGTAGCTACAGTTTGAAACTTTGAACAGGATACTCATAATTTCAACAGAAAAATATGTAATTTAACATTCTCTTGGTTTATTTATTTATTTTTTATTTTTATTTTTTGGGGTATGGGATTTTTGAGTTTAGTGATATGTTAATGATGACACATTCTCAATTGAGGCAAAAGTGAGGTGGATTTACATTTTTTACAAGCTCAAGAACCAAACTTGATGTGGACCATTTTCCAACTATTGATGAAAAAATTGAATGATGGTAGGTGGTGGTTTTCTTCTATCCACTGAAGAGAGAATTGCAACATGGAGAAACCAAATGCTACTAGGCAGCCACCAAAGCCGCCTTCTGCTGTGAGCTCAATTGCCAAGGACCGAGTGGGAAGTGGAGAAAAGCAGACCAGAAAACCAATGGAGGTTTTCCACCTGAGAGAGAACACTAAAAAAGATAGTCATGCTGATGCTGCTGGTATTCCAGAAGCAGAAAGTGGATCAGGAAGCACTTCTTTCACTTCTGCTGCTGCCAGAAGAGATTCCATCAACAAGTGGATGGCATTTGAACCTGGGCCCTCAGATGAGCCTAACAAGGTCACAGCCACTGATTCAAATGGAGGGTTTGGTTCTAATTCTAACAGTCATATTATAACAGAGAAGGCAAGCATAGAAGCAAGAACAGCAGAGTGGGGGGTGGTTATGAAGTCAGATATTGGAGAAGGTAGCTTCAAAGGCACAGGGTCAAGAACATCAGGTGGCGGTGGAGATAAAAGCTTCTCATCAGGGAGATTTGAATCAACAAGGACATCAGAGGACTCAAATTTTGGGGGTGAATTTGGAGTTCCTAGGGTTTCTAATGAGTTGAAGGAAGCTCTGTCTACTCTGCAGCAGACATTTGTTGTGTCTGATGCCACAAAACCTGATTGCCCAATTATGTATGCCAGCAGTGGCTTTTTTGGTATGACTGGTTATTCTTCAAAGGAGGTCATTGGAAGAAATTGGTAAGGCTAATCATTGTCTTATCTGTTTCGATATCTTGTCATCATATTATAAACAGTCTGATAACATAACATGTCAAATTGTGTTACCTGTTATTACTAGTGATTGCAAAAGCATTCCAAGCACATTATTTCTCTTCAAAAAGTCCTCAAATTCTAGCAGACAATTTTTTTATTTTTTTATTTCATTTTTAGTAAAAATCCCAATAAACACTGGCCAAAAGGAAAAAAATGATAGCATTAGTACAATTACACTATGAAACACGTGGTTTCGAACTGTAAAACGCCGCCGTTGCAGCTTTAACCAAACCGCGGCTATAAATACTAGGGTGATATGAAAAATTGCGGCACAGATTCGTTTCTTCAGTTCAGTTCACTTGGTAGCAATATCGCCCAATTTATTCAACTTCTTTCACAATTTCCATTTTGTTCTTGAGTTTCGATTAACCACAATGTGTGGCTCCACGAAGAAGAAGAAGAGAACGCAAGGAAGGGAAAGAATTTGGTGCCCTAAAATTGTGATCTTTGTGTTGCTGCAGCCGATTTCTTCAGGGGCCGGAAACGGACCAGGATGAAGTGGCGAAAATCCGAGACGCAGTGAAAAATGGGACAAGCTACTGTGGCAGGCTCTTCAACTACAAGAAAGATGGAACTCCTTTCTGGAATCTTCTCACCATCACCCCAATCAAAGATGAACAAGGAAAAACCATCAAATTTATTGGGTCAGTGTCCTCCATTTCTCAATCTCTGAAATTGGGTAGCTTGCATATCATGTTTATGTGTTTAAGTATAATGTATAATTTCATTTGTTTTCATTGATATTGACAAAACAATTTTGCAACTTTTTTGTTTCTGTGAGTTGTTTTGGGAGAGCATGTAGTCTAGCAAAAAGTTTACTTCTTGTTTTTGCAGAATGCAGGTTGAAGTCAGCAAGTACACAGAAGGGGTGAATGAAAAGGAACTAAGGCCAAATGGGTTGCCCAAGTCACTTATCCGCTATGATGGTAAGCATAATTGGTCAAATTTTGGAATTTTGTGCGAGTTTTACTTCATTTCTAAACTTATTGTGTTGGTCATGTATCAGCTCGTCAGAAGGAGAAGGCATTAGGCTCCATTAAGGAAGTTGTCGAAACTGTGAAGCATCCACGTTCTCACACCCAGGATGTGAGTCATGAGACTGCTAGCAATCATGGGGAGCAGGATAGCCTTAACCTTGATTATGTTCTGCCTAAATCTGCTGCAATTGCAAATATGAATACACCCGGTCAAAAAACTCCACAATCAGATGTGAAAGGTGATGCATTTCGCATGAGTTCTTCTTATGATGCAGGCAAAATATCTAGAAAATCTGGATTCGCTTCTTCAATGGGGTGAGTACATTTTCTTTTTAAATCCAAACTGCAATTGTTTCACCCCTGGGAGGTTGAGGCTAACTGTGAATTCCATGGAATTTAGTGCTGTTTGTCCTCCCCTTTTCTTTCAATATTTAGAAGTCCCATTTAGAGTTAGCAGGAAGACCATTTTACCAGATTTTGATGAGATGTTTGACCTTCTTCTGCAGATTCAAAACAAGGTCTCTAAGCTCTGCAAGCATGCGTGAAAAAGAACCTATTGTAGAACCGGAGGTTTTGATGACCACAGATATAGAGTCCTCTGACAGTTGGGACCGCACTGAAAGAGAAAGGGATATGCGCCAAGGAATTGACTTGGCAACCACATTGGAACGCATTGAAAAGAACTTTGTGATTAGTGATCCTAGAATTCCTGATAACCCAATTGTAAGAGTTTTTATTTTATTTTGGAACATGCTACACATCTTCCAGTCTCACTCTCAATCTCCACCTCTCTCTGTTGATATTGCACTACCACCTGAATGCACTAAACCAAGGATCTCACGTTACACAAAACCTCTTGTACCCACTTAGAACTATTATGATTTCACTCGAATAGAGTTGGTTCAGTTGTTCATTTATTGTTTTCTAATATCAACTTTCTGCCTGGAATGTGATCTACAATTTTCTTGTAGCATTCTCTCTCCATGCATTTTGTAAACCCAATTCAATTTCATTTACATTAAGAGAGCATATGAGACTTGTAGATCCTTTTTTAAGATATCTTGCTGCAGACTACTAATAACTGCATATGATAAGCGACAGTAGAGCTTACTTCATTTTACATGCCTGCTTTTCCTCTGCTGGGCAGTTGTGTGGAATTGTCATTAATACTAGTATTCCCTTGCTAATCCCAAGGGAGATTCACTTTACATTTGCCTTTATGGTATATACTAAGCATCTATAGGCATCATGGCTTCTTCTGAAAAATTACTCCAATTAAAATATATGGTTTGAGCATGGTGCTCATTATATTTCAAAAATGACATTAATAGTCTTTGGACTCTTTCCTGTGCAGATATTTGCATCTGATAGCTTTCTGGAACTGACAGAATATACACGTGAAGAAATTTTGGGAAGAAATTGTCGGTAGGAAATGCACTCTATTTATGCCTTTTTCTTGACAAGGTCATTTACTTCCTGCTATAAAACTTAAGCATATCATATTGTATTCCTGTTCTGTTATATAATTTTCAATTACGGTAACTTGGAGTCTTAGTCCAGTTTCCCGATATGAATCATATGAAATTAGAATTAAGATTTCGTTTTCATTGTTGCTATCTAATCCCTTATCTTAGTATATGGTTCATCTGTATGAGAAACTTTACCGGTGAAGACAATAGGAATCTAATCTGCTTTATCTGTTTTGTAGTTTTCTCCAGGGACCTGAAACAGATCAAGAAACTGTCTCAAAGATACGAGATGCCATTAGAGAACAAAGAGAAATTACTGTACAGTTGATCAACTATACCAAGAGTGGTAAGAACATGCCTTGGAATTTCTGATGCTGCAAATATGCTATAAACATTGATGTGCCAATTAACTTGATTTATTTTCACTGGTTCATGTTGGTTGGAAGACAAGAGAATCTACGTCATTTAATTGCAAGAGTCATATAGTATATAATTTCTTTTTCTGTTTATCTTGTTCCTTTTGTTTAGGTGTTTTTATGTTACATTTGTCCTTTTCCTAATTGTTATGATTTCTTGAATTGCAGGAAAAAAGTTTTGGAATTTATTTCATTTGCAACCCATGCGTGACCAAAAGGTAACTGTGAGATTCTTATTGTAGGTTCAACCTTCAATCTAAATCTAATTCTGCTGCATATTTCGTTTTGGCCTTTCTTTTGAGCCCCTTTAAATTTTTTAGGGTGAACTTCAATATTTCATTGGCGTCCAACTGGATGGGAGTGATCATGTGGAACCTCTCCGAAATCGTCTATCAGAGAGAGCAGAGCTTGAAAGTTCTAAGTCGGTAATTGTTTTTCTATTATATTCAAACTGTTTTTCATTTTCAATCAAGTGTGTGTATTTGTCATTTGATTGTTTATGTGCTCTAGTAATCATGATGCTGATTCTGTCCTAATGTGCCAGTTCCAAATAGTTACAATAACATTTTTGCAAATCAATGGCAATTATATGGGAAGTTGGTTTGGAATTGAATGTATTTTTTCAGTGTTTTAATCATTCAGCATATGGCCCAATTAAATGACAGAAAAAAGGAGAAGAAAGAAAAGATAGCTATGTAACAAACTTTTATATATTTTCAACATATGCTGCATTTTAGAAATAAACCCAACTTGCTGTGTTGGACATTTGATAATATGGACAAGATAAGCAATAAATACTTTAAGAAGTAATGGAGCTTTGGTTGCTTTATCTCCCACTGATAGAGATTCAATCCATATGTGGAGGCATATATTGTTAGTGGTTTTACTGATATTATTCCATACCTTTCTCCTGTTCTACTGCTGATGCTTCACCATTTTTCTCTACTTATCAGGTCAAAGCTACTGCAGTAAATGTTGATGAGGCTGTCCGAGAACTTCCTGATGCCAACTTGGTAAGGTACTCGTTTGCTCTGAATTAGCTGGCCAATAAGTTCCTCATTATATTTATTTTTCTAAAAGTAAATATCACTTTGAATATTTTCACAATTTATCACATTTTGATTGGGTTCAAAAATATGTATTGAAATATAACGTAAAATATTTAAAACTTTGATACTTACACATTTTACACTTCAATTCATTTTCAGTTGCTACATCTTTTATCTAATAATGAAATCCACTATCTTTATGGCTATAATTTTGAACTACAGCTGATGCAAATTTTGTATTATATCATTGTTTAGAGACCAGAAGATTTGTGGGCAATTCATTCTCGGCCTGTCTTCCCAAGGCCTCACAAAAGGGATACTCCTTCTTGGCTAGCAATACAAGAGGTACCAATTCATTTATCAAACAATTCTTGTAATTCTTGTATGTTAAACTATGTATTTAGGCTAAGGATTTTCTTAGTTGATTATAAACTAGCTATACGGATTATCGATATAGCTTCCTTACACTTGTAGCTGAGTAAGATGACTTACATGCAATTTCAAAGTTAATTGTCAAGTAATATATTTATTTCAATAATGTATCATAACTTGGAATGTTTTGATCAACTTTGCTATCACTTAGATTGAGCATTGAGATGTATATGTTTTAACTTTTCTTATTTACCTATAGAGTTGCATTGTTGTGGTAGTTATCATGTATTATAGTTTCTGTAGTCTCTCTAGGCGCCTATACAAAATATAGTTACTTCTTGATGGTGTTCAGAATCAACATATGGTGTTATGGGCTTCATATGTTTTGAATCAGCTGTCTCCATCTCTAACGTATTTTTTCTATTCTTATCTGTTCTCGGTAGATTACTGCTCGTGGTGAAAAAATTGGTCTACATCATTTTAAGCCCATAAAACCATTGGGTTGTGGTGATACTGGCAGGTACTTCACAATATTCACCTTTTTCACTTATGTGTTTGAGTGGCGTTCACAATCCTTCTTGTCATTTTTCCATCTGAAATTTGTACTTTTATTCAGGTCATTAGGAATCTTTCATACAATGCAGATCATAAATATTTGTTTATCTGGAGCTCTACTTGTCAATTACATGAAGATGGTATGTTTGCAGTGTCCATTTGGTGGAGCTACAAGGTACAGGTGAACTGTATGCTATGAAGGCAATGGAGAAGTCAATAATGTTGAACCGTAACAAGGTATGATCATATTAGAGAACCATAATTCGTCAGCAGTGCATAAGCATATATCTCAGTGGTGTCCAGAAAAGAAACTTTGCAATTTTGTGCATGAATGTGTCTTATGCACACCTTTGCTTGTCTACATATGCATGCCTCTTGTTTGTATGAATGTGTGGTATTTGCACACATACACATATGCATGCCCTTTTTTGTTTGTGCAAAGTGGAGTAAGTTGCATAGTTTCTTTATAGATCCCTGAGGGTCACATATCACTATGATTGTTTTACAGGTTCACCGAGCATGCATTGAAAGGGAGATAATTTCGCTACTGGATCATCCTTTTCTTCCCACACTGTACACTTCATTTCAGGTCTTTCAATTTTACAACACAAATTTTTCTTTGTTCAACTCAGACAATTTATACAGACATTTTTGGATGCATCGGCACATGTGAGTGCACAAATAGGCATAGGCATATTTGATTGGGGCCAGGTGCAATACTGTGTAATTTCTAAATCAAATATATTTTTTGGTTAAAGAATACTTTCCTAACCCAATAAAGCTAAACCTATATTGCAACAACCTTAGAGGACAGACAAATTTATTCCTATTAAATGTACTAATTTTACGAAGGAAATATTTTTTTAAAGATTTAAATAAAAGAAAGAGGAAAATTGGATTTATATTTTTATTTGGAGGGCAGAACTTATAGATTTTTTATTTTCTGCTTGACATGCATGACAAGTCAAAATAGATATCTGGACTCTGGGTCTCAAACTCTCCAATCTTGTATGGACTGCATTTGACTTTTGACTATCTTGGTGTTGGCTCTATAATTTTCTATATAAAATCAAGCAAAAAAGGGTTCTAAGGAAATTATAATAAGTTGATTAATGTCAACAAGCTTCATTTATGCATTTTGCAAATTTTAATTTACTGACTTGTTGTGTATGGTATACTGATATCTTTTAATCTTCTCAGACTTCTACACACGTTTGTTTGATATCAGACTTCTGCTCTGGTGGAGAGTTATTTACTTTGCTTGACAAGCAGCCTATGAAACTATTCAAGGAGGACTCTGCGAGGTACTTTACTTTTGTACTCTAACATCTCTTGGTACCATATTAAAACTACTACTTCCCTTTTTGCTTGGAATTAATAACTAGGAGGCACTGGTCTGATTATTGCTACTTTAACCTCTAGCTTGTATTGGGTTCAACTGCAGTTGATATTTTTTTTTTTTTTTTTTTTTTTTTTTTTTTTTTTTTTTTTTTTTTTGGGGTCTTTACTTGGTGTCTTGTTGACTTTGACTTTACTTTAAAAGAATAAAATATCAGCCTTAAATTCAAATCAAGTCGTTGTGTATGCTTTTATTTTTCTAGTCATTAGTGAAAGTCAAAGATCCAGAAAACTAGTTGTATGTGCATACGACGATTCAATGTTTAACTTTCATTATATCCCAGGTTCTATGCGGCAGAGGTTGTCATTGCCTTGGAATATCTTCACTGTCTAGGTATTTTGACTATTCATATTTTTCTCCCTCTATTTTATTGTATAAAAAATGGGAAGTCTTAAAATTATGGGTATTCCCAAATCCTGTGGTTAACATTTATTATTTAGGTAACCTAGATTATTATCAGAAGGTAATCTGAGTTCTTCCCTGAGTATAGGGATTAGCATTTGAAGTACAGGAATCCAACCCAGGATTGAACCCAGGATTGAGCAATTATAACAGTCTGCATCATTATGATGAAAAAATAAATCTCAGTTCTTTTGCTTCTTTGCTTACTATATCTATGGCTTCTTACAGGAATAGTTTATCGCGACCTTAAGCCCGAGAACATTTTACTCCAGAAGGATGGGCATGTTGTCTTAACAGACTTTGATTTATCATTTATGACATCCTGTAAACCCCAGGTACAGAATCATATTCCTCTTGGAAGATCATGCTGCTTCTCTATTTACTGACTTGAAACATTCTTATGCTCCCTATGTATGGTTCATTTGTGAAACTGATTAAAAATATTCGGATGGCCTATTAAGCTACAGCCATCCCAAGTCCCGACCCAATCAGGGTCCTCATTAGTCACTGGCTTACACGAGGGAAGAGAACTGCTCTTTTCTTTTATAAGTGCTAGAAATGTTTCCTCTTAGTCATAACTTATCAACCACTGGCGTTAAGCGTGGATCCCCATATCTGATAATGCTTTATATCTGTTCAGTTTGCATCAAATTATGAAAAGAAATTTCTTCAGATTTCTTTTCATTAGTGCAGAGTGTGTCTAGTGCCATGGTAATTTTGAGAAGATGATAGTGACAGTTATATTTCCAGAATTTCCATTCTACCTATTAGATGCTTGAAATGGAAACTTCTGACTCTTCTTGTTTGTTAATATATTTTGTTTTGCATTGCAGATTATAAGGAATCAATCGCCTAACAAAAGAAGGAGATCTAGGAGTCAACCACCACCAACATTTGTTGCAGAACCAGTTGCACAATCAAATTCATTTGTCGGAACTGAAGAGTATATTGCTCCTGTATGGTGATTCTTCCATTATGGTTTAGGGTTATGCTACTTTCAATATTTTGATTATTGCATTAGACAGAAGTGCATGCTTTGTTTTCATATGGTTCTAAAATGATTGGGTAACACCTTAGAAAATATTTTCATGCCACAACATGGAACTCAGGATCAATGTCCCCTATGAGACGCGCGCACACACACAACTTGAGCTTTTCATCAACAGTAAAGTGTATGCATGTGCTTAAACATCTGCAATGGTTTTTTGTATGTATCTCTAATCATGTTTTGGAAATACTTGTATAGTACAAATCTGGTCTGCTACAAAATTATTACAGTAATGATAATAATTTTGTCTATCTGCATATTTTCAAAGTTCTTACAGGTGCTTGATTTCAGGAAATTATTACTGGTGCAGGCCACAGCAGTGCCATTGATTGGTGGGCTCTTGGTAAGCATAAGAGCGTGTGTGTTCACATATGAATATGCATGTGCATACATTCATGCATGGGCTCCCAAACAAGTAACAAGCGTCAGTCATTGCAAGCTATCATGCTGACGCTTATCAGGGAATCAATTTCTCAAGTTCCACAGCTTTGAAAATTGCTTTGGTATCCAGAAGTGTTCCATATAGTAAATTTTTCCAATCATGTTGTCATGGAGTTCTTCTTCCCCCTACTAGGTAGTTCTACAAAGATGTATCAAATCATGTGTTCCATCTATTTCATGATAACGGAGTCTCCTACTTAACTTTCTTTGCAGATCTGTAATGCGTTTTATCATTAATACTGTGAATTTATTTATGTTTGGAATTCAGGTATTTTGTTGTATGAGATGCTCTATGGCCGTACACCTTTCAGGGGAAAAAATAGACAGAGGACATTCACCAACGTCTTGTACAAAGATCTCACCTTTCCAGGCAGCATTCCGGTAAATCTCGATTCAAAAAATGCGTTTATACTGTCATTTTGAACCTTATGAGCATTTCAGCTGTAGATGAAGTTTTAGTAATGTCATTATTGGAAGCTTTGAGCTAATTATGCAACCGCTAACATTATTTGATGTTCCAGGCAAGCTAGCAGCGCGGCAGTTGATCAATGCATTGTTGCAAAGAGACCCTGACACACGATTAGGATCCAGTACTGGTGCAAATGAAATCAAGCAACATCCTTTCTTCCGCGGAATTAATTGGCCTTTGATTCGTTGCATGGTACTGATCTAAAGAGCCTACCCAGGATTTGAATTTTTTTCAGCAATCTCATAAAGTCAATTACGTTATAGTTCCCCATCAATTACATGTCTTGACTTTTTGTATGATCTGTGTGCAGAGCCCTCCGCCATTAGAGGTGCCTCTTCGGCCCATCTTAAAAGATCCAAAGGCCAAGGATATATCGTGGGAAGATGATGGAGTTCTTGTAAATTCAATGGATTTGGATATTTTCTGAAGGTTTAGTTTAATTACTTTTGCACACATATTAAAATTATGCCTATTGCTTCTGCTTCAGACATCAAATGTGTGGTACCTGATTGTTATTAAAACTGTCCTTTTTTTCTTTTCTTTTCTTTTATCAACTTGTGCAGAATTTTTTATGATGCCATGTGTGGAATTCTGTGGTGCTTTACTGGACAAGGTCTTTTGGCTCAGCCTTCCTATTGACAGAATGAGGCTATAACTTGCCTTTTGAGGCATGAATGTCGAATCTTCGGAGAGAAATAGCCAAGAGCTTCAACATGGTGGCCACTTCGGTTGTCTGGGTTTGGTTCAGTAGAGAATTAGCATTTAAGCACCAATTATATTTAACCACGAATATATGTTCTTAATCAAATCAAAATTAATAATATCAACATATAATGTTAATACGAATTTATGCCCTAACTTGCCAAATTCATGTCTGTTCTTCACTGGATGAGAAATTTTTTAGTAAATACTGGGAGGCCTAAATTTACTTATTTTTGGGTTGCATTCGAAGGAAAGAAACCCTGGGTTTCGTGCCAAGCAGGGGGAAGGGGAGCGCCACAAACACTCTGGTAATCTGGCATTGGCCCTTAATTTACATTTTTAACAAAAGGAATCGTGCCAATTACTGTCGTTGCTGCTAGACTCTTCTGCCATACCATTCTCCTCAACAACCAACTAATTCCTTCTATATACATCCATACAATTGTCTATGGGAGACCCAAATAATTAAAGAAGAAAGACAAATTTAATTTCCTTTATTATTGAAACCAATTTCAGTTGAAAAAAATCCGGACAGGAAAAGAAGGGCTCAAATATAAGCAATGGCAATGCACTTGCCACACAATACATATATTAAAGGCAAACCCGGAGAGCAACCCTGTCTACAATCCTTTTGAAGACATACACAACTAAAAGAAGAAGGGCACATCAGTTATTTTTCAAAAATTAATCCAAAATAAAGATAATCATTTAGGTACAGAAGCACTTCGGTGTATATTAATACAACAGGTGACCATATGTATGTCTTCATTATTTCGTGGCCTGCGCGATTATATTGCTTATTGAACTAGCCTGCTCTTTTGCAGTCTCCACCAAAGAATCCTGAAAGGCCGTAATATAATGAAATTAGCACGAGCCAAAATATTCGAAAACAAATGGCACTGATCTAAGAATATTTGTACCTGTGCAGCTATCAACCGCGCAACTGTTTTCTTGCTTGACTCTTGTAGTTCACCAGCGATCAAAATTTCATCCAGTATATAGTAGGCCTTCATGTTGTCAATAGTAACAAACAATCAAACCAAATACTTACTTTCATATAAATGCAATATGAACATGCATCAGAAGAACATCATGTGATTTTCAAGAAGGAAAATTGTTGACCCCTTATAACATTGAATATCAACAAATAGCAACATGATGAGGAAATTAAAAAAACCAACTAATCTTTGACATGTAATTCTCAAGAAGCAAATTGTTGACCCATAAATAAGCACAGTATGCATACCTTGTGGAAGTTAAAGATCAGATCCAATTCACAGACCTGCAACCATGAATATGTTAATACAACAACATCCTTCATCAAAATGAAATGACGAAGATAATGCAATCAACACTCACACTGCCAAAGTATCGGTCAAGAATCTCAACATAATGATGAATCATTTCAAGGACCTCTAATTCGTTATCTTCTTGATCAATACACATACAGAAATATAGACTAGCATATCTGCATAACACATTGACAGAATCAACTCAGTCATAATTGTCCTTAGAAGAGCAAAAGCACAGTCATAACTCTCTGCATTACCTTTTATAAACAACTTTGTATCCTCTCCAATCCACAAAATTACAGAGCTTGGGACCTCGTGCAAGAATTACTCCACTGAGCTCACGAAGGACCTACTCAAAAATGTACAACAAAAACCATGCACACACAGCGATTACCAATGTCACAATTGAAAGCTATTCTCATAACAAAGATGAAAATTGTTAGTATGGTTATTATTTTTGGAATTATATATTTTCGTGAAGTTTAAACAACCCACAAAATCCAATAAGACCTATAGGCATTACCTTAGTTCTTTCCTTTTGGGTATAAGGCGAATACCATTTTGTCAACCTGACTTTTCCTTGCCTGCTTATAAGAAGCACAAATTGAATCTACAACATAAAGCATTAGATCAACAACCAAAGTAAAAAAACCCTTGTCAAATTCAACGAATGTATGCCTAGCAATCCTGTCAAAATCGCCACTTTCGTATTTAGCTACAATACCAAGGCAATTTACATGGTGTGCCCATTGTTGGCAAGGCAAAGATGGATCATATATTAATTTCTACAACTATAAGAGCCCAGGTTTTGCTCACAAGAAAACAAATTCAAACAGGAAAAAAAATCCCAGACAAGTGAGAATTGATCACTATTCGACCCAGATCTAAAAAAATTTAGCAACCCAATCTAAGAAATTGAAATATGAGGAAGAGAAGAGGCAAGTGAGCAATCCAAACAATGCGGAATTTTAAAACGAAAGATCTTCGTCAACAAACAAAGGGAAGAATTCAGTTTGTCTTACCATGGCTGCGTTCTTTCTGGCGATCGAGTGCTTTTACTCTTCAAAGCTCGAAGCTGCACCCAACCCAGCTAAGCTAAGCTTAAATCCCTGCCGCTATTTATATCGGACTGAAAACTATGATTACTTTCCTTTTCTGAAATTGGGTAAGACCGTTATAAGAGCTATGCCTCTCCCTCTGGGCTCAGGAAAGAGCGAGGCAAAATTCCCAGTTGCGCTGGAAGACAACTTCTGGGCCCATAGAAAAGCCCATAAGATATCAAATTACTTCTTTTTTTTTTTTTTTTTTTTTTTTTTCTTTTCTTCTTCATAAGACATTAAATTGTTATTATCTATACATATATAAATCAAAAGGCTTTTATGGTTAAATTTTCAGAACTCAAAATTTCCATAATTTAAGAAATAAATAGGAAATAGAAATTCCTGTAAAAAAAATCTATAAATAAGAATATAATTAATTAATTAATTAAAAAGTTTATTGACATGCATTTAAGCTCTGGTTGAGACACTATTTATAAATAATTTAAAAGTACACGTCAAAATATGAGAAGAAGGGAAGAATATGAGATGGATATGAGGAAAACAGAGGGATACCAGAGAAATTGTTTATGCACATATTTGCAGTTTTCCAATCTTCACTATTATAAAATAAATCTCCTCTTTGAGTCAAGGGAGTTTCACTAAAACACCCAAAATGGGGGCTTAAATTATAAAAAAACTCAAGCACTATTTAAACATATAAACACACCCAAAACCCATAATTACACACACTCAAAATCCATTTATAAACACACCCAAAAAGTTGACTTCGGGGTTGATTTTGGGTGTGTTTCTATGTTTAAATAGTGCTTGGGTTTTTCTATAAATACATGTTTAGGATTAGGTTTATTTATAAATTTGTATTGAGGGAAAGCTCTACCAAATGTACAACATCTTAAAAACTCTTTGTAATATGTAATTTGATTATCTCACATAAATATTTAAATGGCTATGATTGGAAACAGAAAAGGAGATTAAAACTTAGAAAACTTATTGGTCACATCAGAGTAGAGAAAGCTTTTGAAGTTGAGAGGGGAGAGTGGAGAGAGGCCAGAAGTCAAAATGATCATCAAATAATTCAAAGCATGTAATTGACGATGAAATCAAATGACAAAATATTTCTATCAACTAGCCTTATGCAGCACTAGTTCCAGATAAAACTACAACTGTTTGCAATACTGATTACATTGGCGATCACATTTCTTATAAAAGTGAAATTCACGAGAAGTCTATCTATGCAAGTGAATTTTGCATTTTTCCTCACTCACATTTTTCTTTTCTAAAACTTTAACTTGCACCTCAAACATCATAAACAATTAGTCTTTCTGCTGTGAAGCTTCTTCTTCCCACATGTTAATTCATAAACAACAATGGCGATTGGTTTACGTAAACCCACTCTCAATTATTTGTTAAAGAGAATCAACAGGCTCATGTTTCTTTTTAAGGGAAAAAAATAATTATTAATTTATTATTTCAATTTTAATGGATTGGCTTGATAAATGATTCTTAGATTTTCAAATTCATTAATTAAACTAATTAGAAGTAAACCTCATGCCCCGTTGACCTATCCATCATCGCCAAACAAACATTTAATCAGATGCCCTACTCATTTGTCAAACTTTTTTTCATTACAAATATCCTAGTGTCGAATTCAGGATTTGATAGCTCTCTGGGCAAAATTGACTTACTAATGAATTGCTATACATAAATAAAAGCTTAACAAAATAAAAGCCACAAGTAAATGAAAATGCAATAAGAAACAACACTATTTAAATCTAAAATTTTACCTTACGAGAAGCTTAGAAGTCTTAAATTCTTCAATTATCGTTGCATTATTGTTATTATTAGCAAATTCTCTTTCATATATGTTGAGTACATTATACTTATGTACCTTTTTATAAAAAAAAATTCTTGGCCGAGCGGCCGCCTAGCCGAAAAAGGGCTAGATCCATCCCTGCAATATCTCATCATGAAAAATAAAATAAAACAAATAACAAAATCTAAGAAAAATATTAGATTGAATACCGAGCAAGCCCATTGATTTAGTATTGAAAGCATGGTCAAGAAGATAGATCCCTTCCTATGAACATTCACAAAACTCAACTAATGTGAGTGGGTACGCGTACCCCTCCACTCAATTATTTGCTAGAAGGAATTGAACATGCTCGTGTTTCTTTTAAGAAAAGAATAATAATTGATTAATTATTTTATTAATTCAAGTTTTAGTGAATTATTTGCAAATTAATTAAACAAATTAAGAGTATGGCGCTCATGCGCCCGTTGACCTGCCCATCATCATCATCAACAACAAACATATAACATCAGATGCTCCACTCATTTGTCAAACTAATTTTTATTATGAGTATTCAATCATGACAAATTAAATAAAACAAGTAAAGTGGATTAAACTTGATAACTCACTAGATTTAAGGTACGATGAAAGAAGTTATGAAAACCAACTTCCAAATTTTGTCCGAGTTAAAGGTATAGAAGACAAATTAATCATACTTCAACGTTAAAATTTTGCGAGTTATCCAATTTAGTCTTCAGCACCAAATACAATTGCATCCAATGAATATCAGCAAGGCTTTTGTGGATGACAAATGAAAGTTGGATTATCCTTCTTGTGCTCTTTTTTGCTTTTCTGCAACTGTCTTAATTCTTATAAATGACAAAGAGCTATATGTATCTTAATTACATGAAGAAAAAAAAGGATAATCGTAACCAATCACAGCCTCCCTCTCTCTCTCTAGAAACAAAGAACTAACTAATAAATCAAGATCAAACAACTAATAATACCAAGAAAACCCATTAAGGTAGGAGGAAGAACTATTAACACCCTCATCCCATTTTGCATGAGAAGTCTTTAAACTGAAGAAAAGAGACCTGCAAATTGGGCAGGTGAAGTGGCTGCGCTCAATCCACCTCTCAATGCAGTCCATGTGGAAAACATGCCCACACTTAGACAATTGACTCACCACATCCTCCTTCTCAAACTCAACCAAGCAAATTGAGCATGTCTCCTCCAAAGCTTCCTGCCCACACCTTAAGCAACCATGATCCTGCAAGTCCTGGAACCTAGCCACTGGAAGGCACATCTGGTCCTCCTCCTGCTCCACTTTGCAGGTGAAGAAGAACACAAAACCAACCAATCTGGCCAGAGCTCTCTTCATTTGCAGCAATGGGATCCAAAAACAAGTGTAGAAGAAAATTGTAGCCATGCTCAAATGTGACTGAGAAACCATTAGGCATATCATTTTTTCTGGTGAAAAAAAAAAAAGCAACTCTTGTAACCCAAGTACCAAAATTTGTAAGGGTAATGGAAGTTTGAGTGATATGGAAAGGAACCCATGTTGGCCTTTATATAGCAACAAGTCTTTGAGTGTTGAATGTTAAATCCTTAGTCTTAACAGACAATTTAAATGTATTATTATTATCTTAGCTCTGACTTTTGGAGGTTGGGGGAGAGGGGGTGTTTTGAAATATTATTTTTATTTACATATAAAAGTGTTTGATATTTTATTGTAGGTCAAGTGTGTAACACTGTGCTAAATTCATATGGATCGGCGGAGGAGCAGGGCCGGCGCCGACCCCACATATTTTTAGTCTTTGATTAAACATAGATTTTAAAATCTAGATGTTAAACAAGTACAACTTGTCTCTCTAATTCACTTATAATAGTAATTAGTAAGTACTTAAAGCCTCAGGAAGATCTTGTTCGAGCACGAATAACGGTTTTTTTGAGATTTAGTTGTAATTAAGGTCACATTAAGCATGCAAATGCAGGTCCCGAGGTTAAATTTTCAATAATATAAAACGACTCGAAGCACAATGGACGAGCCTAGATTGATAATTCACTCATCAAGCAACTTATGCACAAGTTCGATACAAATTACTTTAGCGTTTAAATGTTTAGAGTTTAGTGTTTACGATTTATAAGAAAATGTTATCTAATCAGTCGGACAACATAAACATTTGTTTGATGATATTAGACTAGTGAGAGAGAAGATCCCAACCCGAATTTTAGTTATCTATTCTAATTGTTTCTAACCCCTTAATTTGTTTCTCATTAAATGAATTTACTGACATACATGCAAAAATTACAAGCATGATTTCAATAGCTAGATATTTAGGTGTTTACTGGTTTGCCTTTATCTGGTATTGTGGCCCTCGGTTTTAAACAGTGATCACCTACCAGACAAAAACCAAAGCTCAAATGACTCCGCAATTGGCTCCTCGACTCAGGTTTCAACTTGTGTACATATTAATAAAATGCGAAAACTAATAAGCTAGTCAATGATTATGTGCACATGATTTGGGAAGTTATTCACAAACACCATCATATGTTATAACTCATTAGTTATAATCTTGAAATGTTATGTACACAACACACAGCATGTGCTTCTAATTAACTTTCAATTTAGTTTCATCACCCAAGTTGTAGCATCCCCATATTTTGCCTCCACATGCACTAGCCAAACACTATGGAGCTTCGTAATATGCTTTTTCCCAAGGTAGTCCTATAGATACCAACTATTATCACAATTTTAAGTAATACGAAACATATCATGACAGTTGCTTATTAACGTAAATAAATGAGAATGAGATTCACAATAATATTTTTGGTCAAAACCAGTTTTAGCAGCGTTCTATATAGGGCTTCCAGACCTAATAAGCTTCAAAACGGATTGTATTTTGCATGAAAATTAAGTAGCGGAAATCAGATTGGCCAAACAAAAAAGACCAAGTAAAATGAGAGTGAAGAACTTGTATCGCTATCTATGATGGTCAAAGAAGTCCTCCCACCCTGTCCACATTCTTTCCTTCACTATCACCATGGATGAAATATGAAGTGAAACTAACCTTGAAGCCATCAGTAAACCCAAGTCTAACTTATAATAACTGACCTATTACTATTGTTGTTGCTGCTGCTGCTATTCCTTCTGCTACTATTCACATTTGCTACCTCCATCACAAATCTGTCTACCCACCACAACCACCAGCATTTCCCCTGCCCTAGCCTTTCCAACAATGTTTTGTTATATGAACCAATGAGCAGTTTCAACTTTGTTGTGCTGATTGACTAAGCAACACAAAGAAGTAAAAGCAAGCACAGATTAAGCTATTAAAATATGTGCTTAAAACATCTTTAGTTTTTTCAAGTATCCATTGATAGAAAACATGACACAGAATAAACATCACAGCAAGTAGCTAACTTTTGTAGTTCTAAGCAAACTTGATCAAAGCCATAAATTGGGCATTCTAATTGAACTCTTGTTAATCAGAAGCATCACGGGTCATTACCATGTGGAATGTAAACTGTATAAAACTTTATTAAAAAACTTATGCTGACAAATCCTCGACAACCATATAAAGCACTAGGAATCATGACCGTTATTAACAAAGTGAATTTCCAAGGGTGGCATTGATGTTATTCTCATGCTATCCCTCCTCATACAATGGGGCAACAAGGTCTTAACAAAGCCAAAGAAACTCAATCTTTTATAATCAACAGCAGAACAGCAAAACTTACAATTTCTTATGCTTCTAATGACCAAGAGAACTCAAAAAAATTTCTGTGACTTCTTCTTCCCGAAGATAGCTTCCCAAACCGTGGGTGAAAATGGCACCTTTTTGTCCAAAAACTCTCTAACAGCCTTCTCATTAACCAAATACCCCTTTTGCTTCAACTTCCCAACAACACTTTCAGCTTCTTCCAAATCCTTTTCCTTACAAATCGTATCAACCAATCCCACAAAAGTAGCTACATTCGGTGAGTGACCGGCTTCCAGCATTTCAGCACAAAATTCAACAGCATCCTCCAACTTATTAGACCTATACAACCCCTGTATCAACACAGTGTAACTAAAAGCATTGGGAATAATCCCATTGCTCTGCATCTTCCTGAAAATCCTCTTAGCATCTTCAAGCTTCTGGGCTTTGCAAAACCCATCAACCACAGCAGTGTATATAACGACCTCAGGAATAGTACCCTTTTCACGCATCGACCCAAAAAGCTTCATGGCGTCCTGAACCAACCCATCTTTGCAAAGCCCATCAAGCATGGCCACAGCATTGGGAATGAGACCCGTCTCCTTCATCTTCTTGAATATCTCGTCTGCTTCTTCAGGTGGCTGGGGCGGCTCGTCAACTTCTTGAGGCTTCTCTCTCTTGGACTTTTCAAGACCAAGCTTGAGCTTTTCAAGAAAACTGCTATCCTGCAATGGCGGAGAAGGGTTCTCTCTCCTCTTTTCTGAAATGGGTGAGTTTTTGTTGAGGAATTGAAGAGGGGAGGTCGGGGGATTGGATGGTCTTTGGCCTCTCAAAGGCCTATTGGGTATGGGCTCTGGAGGTTGTTGCTCTGGTGCTTCCATTTCACCGCTGCGATCAGCTGTGGAGCTTGAACGACGCAGTTTTATCGACAAGCTCGTTGAAATGGGGGGTTCAGATGAATGGCGAAGAGGGTTAGATATTATGGACAAGATGTGCTTAGAAACCCGACCGTGAAACGATGGCATGGCCCCAGAGATTTCCGATCAATAAAGTGACGAGCTTTACGTTCTTCAATTTTAGGGTTTAAGGGAGAGTAAGGTTTTGGGGTTCAAACCAAAGAGAGGAAAACGAGGACTGTGATTGTGGCATTTACGGCAAAGAAGAGGGCACACTGGTCATTCAAGAAAACAACGAGGGCAAATACGGAATTTCGAAAAGAAGGCTCAGTTGTTTCTTCCCTTCGCTTCACTGCTTGAAGTGTGGCGCTAAAAGAAACAGATAAGGCTTGGGCTATGGCTTTCTCCTTCTTAACTCCTTCGTGCCACTGCCTCTGCCTTTGAATTTTCTGCGGCTGCCTTTACAACTGCAAAGTCTCTCTCTTTTAGCTTTTCCCTTTTGCTGTGCCTGATTGAATCATAGGTATGTATGTGACTCTTACTGTGTGCGTATATATTTGCTAAATTCAGACGAGAAAGAATGTTTTCCCGATAGAAATGAATGGAAATATTTAGTTTCTTAGATTTTATAATTGCCCATTTACTGAATTTTGTTCATTTTCAGCATGGTCTTCTATTGATGTTTACTTGTTAATCAACTTTTACACAAGTAGTTTTCTGGGTTTATATGAACTTGTGAATGTAGCTCGGGGTTGATGTGTTTCACTTGTTGTCAGGGGGCAAAATGGAAACCAGCACCACCCAAAATGGTAGTACTAGTATCATGTGGTTCTTCAGGGATAAAGGTTTTGATGATAAGAGCATTCAGGATATGCTAAAAAAGTGCAAGCGTCTTGAGAATGTGCATGGGGAAACAGCCTCTGAGAACTGGGCTTATTTGAAAAGTATTGGCATTCAAGAGAGAAAGCTACCTTCTGTTGTTTCAAAATGCCCCAAGATACTTACTTTGGCCCTCCATGAGAAGCTTGTACCTACGGTTGAGTGCCTCACCACGCTCGGTACCAAACCCCGCGAAGTTGCATCTGCCATTGCCAAATTCCCTCACATTCTGTCCCATAGTGTGGAAGAGAAGCTCTGTCCACTCTTGGCCTTCTTTGAGGCACTGGGAATTCCTCAAAAGCAACTTGGGAAAATGATTTTGCTCAATCCTAGGCTCATCAGCTACAGCATTGAAGCAAAGCTGTCTGAAATTGTGAACTTTCTTGCTAATCTTGGCCTTTCCAGAGAAGGGATGATTGGAAAAGTACTGGTAAAGAACCCATTTATCATGGGTTATAGTGTTGAAAAAAGATTGCGCCCTACTGCAGAGTTTTTGAAATCAGTTGGTCTCACAGAGCAGGGTCTTCAGACTGTGGCAATGAGCTTTCCTGAGGTGTTGTGTAGAGATGTAGACAAGATTCTGAGGCCTAATTTTGATTATCTAAAGAGAAGTGGATTTGAAGATGGTCAGATAGCAGCTTTGGTATCTGGTTATCCTCCAATTTTGATCAAAAGCATCCAAAATTCTCTAGAACCTAGAATCAGGTTCTTGGTAGAGGTAATGGGGAGACGAATTGATGAGGTTGCTGATTATCCCGACTTCTTTCGCCATGGTTTGAAGAAAAGAGTGGAGCGGCGACACAAACTTTTGAAACAGAGGACAACCCATTGTAGCTTGAGTGAAATGCTGGACTGTAATCAAAAGAAGTTCGCAACAAAATTTGGTTTGGTTTGAAGAATAGGCCCAAGGTACTAGAGTCTCATATTTTCTGTTCTTTGATATTCATTTTTCTTGTATTGTAGCTTAGTTTGGTATTGTGTACTTTCAATATATGAGGTGAACTGAACTGGTATATGGTTTTGGCCCTTCTGGGTGGACCAGAGAGACTTAGTTGGCTCAAGAATCTGTGTGGACAGAGAATGACTTGGTCTTAAATACAGTTCAATGTGAAAATTTTGCCTTCTATAAAGTGCCATCTGGTAGAACATTGTCTGAGGTAGTTTCAGTTGTTCATTTAGAAGCCAAAGGCTACAAAACTATCTGCTTTAATCAATTTTCTGTAACCTTAGCTAAAAGTAGCCTAATCATAGGTATAACGCAGTTGACGAGGTTAATTGAGAGATCTTTTGGATCTCAAAGAACAAATATTGCCATAATCTGATTAGTTTTCTGAGGTAAATCTGTAGAAAATTCTTAATACTGGCGATCCCGTAAAACATTATCATTAGGTATTCTGAACAATGGGCTTCAGTTAAAAACCTCCAATCTTAATGCAGAAGGAGATGAGCTGAAGCCACTGCAATAATGTTACATTCAGTGTTCCACCAAAATTTAGTAAGACACTGTAATGCTAGAAAGAATGACGTTAGAAACTGTACTCTCAGTGCTGCTGTAGGCAGTGGAAGGCCACATAAAAAGAGGCTTGAATGGAGGTACACTAGGGGCTGGAGTGGTTCCAGCTATAATCTGGCATATGGCCTGTGTTTGAGGCCTCTCACTGGCAATGGGATGCGAACATGCCAAACCCAGAAGTAAAAGCTGATTTGCTTCATCAAACACATAATCATCGTTCAGCCGCTTATCTATGGCTTCTTCAATGCGCCCTTCTCGATGCATCATCCACACCCAATCAACCAAGGAATACTGGTGGTGTTCATGAAGAATCTTAATCCCTGGACTTCTACCACATACAATCTCAAGCACCACTGCCCCGAAACCGAACACATCAGATTCTGGAGTAGCCTTTCCTGTGTGGAAGCACTCTGGAGCAACATAGCCCATGGTGCCCGGGACTCCAGCTAGTTCTAGTTCAGCATATGAGTTCCTCTCTTGATCCAAGGCTCGGGCAAGGCCAAAGTCTCCCAGGCGAGCATTGAAGTCTGAGTCAAGCAAGATGTTGCTGGCTTTTAGGTCGCGGTGCACCACTTTTTGGTCATACTCGTTTTGTAGGTAATGCAATGCTGACGCCACACCAGCAAGGATCTTGCATCTATGTTTCCAATTCAGTGTATTCTGGCTGGAAGTTTCATATAAGTGCTTATCGACACTGCCATTTGGCATAAAATCATACACTAAAAGAAGCTTCCCTTTCTCATAGCACCATCCTGTACAACAGTCAATGTAGAGTACTGAGCAGGGTTTTGAAACTTCAAGATTTAGCTGTTTATGCAACAGAAATTTAAGTGAAGGAAGTTCAAACTTGAAATTATAGCTTTTTTTTGGATGTACAAGTTCTAACCATGTTTAAAAATAATAATTGAGAGTTGGGTTCTGAAGATTTCCTTGAAAGGAAGAAAGAAAAAGACATTGTCAATACAAAAGACCATATCAAAATTCAAATGGAGCAAGGTGTATTATTTCTCAGCCGCCCCGAGCATTGTACGTTGACTGTTGGCCCTTTATTTATTTATTTATTTAGTTTTGAATTAAAACATTTTGAAATGTTCCTAATTAGCTCATTAATCTAAATTAAAGATTGGATTTATAAATTTAAAAAAATAAAAAAAGAATCGTGCAAATGACATACCCACTAACCGTACAAGATGTTTGTGTCGAAGCCGGTGAATTATGGTGAGCTCAGCCAAGAAATCATCTTTGCCTTTGATGTTGTCCCGGGAGAATTTCTTGACAGCAATTTCTGTAGAGGTTTTAGTATCTGCATGATCCTTATCATGCAGAGTTCCTCTGTAAACAATGCCAAAACCACCTTGTCCAAGTCTCATACCTTCATGGAAATTATTAGTTGCCTCCTTAAGCTCCTTGTACTTGAACTCTCTAGGCATTCCTGGCAACCTTTTCAGTGTCCCTAGCACATTGGACTCTTCAACCCTGGTTCTTTTCCTTTTCTTCACATACCTAACTCCCAGCCAAAATCCAAGTATCACTAACAAGGCCATTGTTGGAACACCAACCCCAACAGCAATCTTCAACCAAGTCCAATCTTTTCTTGGGAGTACTTCCTTCACGCTTAAATCCCATTCCAAAACACAGTTTAGCTGAATTGCTGAGCTGCCTGTGGAAGCAGCAAATCCAAAGTAGGACTCTTCTTTCAGGTAATGCCTCAAATTTATTGTCTCCCTCAAAAGTGGTGTGTTGGGCTTGTTTGGTGGGTTGGCTCGAGAGTGTTTAGCCATGTAGACTTCCATGACTTTGGACCTACCGTCGTATTCCACCCACACGCTGTAGTTGGTGGCTTTCTCCGGCGATATCTCAATGCCTAAAGGGGTGAGAGGAACAATCTTGTTTGAGTGTACAGAATTGATGTTGAGGCCTATGTGGTTGCCATCGGGGTCGAAGTCCTGCTTTTCTGTGTCGAATTCTATAGCAACAATGCGGTTTGTGGCATTCCCATCAGTGCTGGCATTGGTGAGGCCTAGCCACTGTCCATAGCTTTGTTCAGGTATATTTATATCTGAAGCTATTAGAAAGGCAAAGCCTTCACCGGCATTCGACTCGTTGTGGTAAATGTTCACGAGGAAAGTTGAGTTGAAGGAGGCAACAACATCGATGTCAGGCAACCATAGTCTGTAAGGTCTGCGGTACATGATCCGTCCGGACTTGTTTTGTAAAAGAAAGTCTTGGTTCAGAGTGTCTGGGGTTAACTGAAGTGCCCCATGATCAATGGAAGAATCGCCTTTAATGTGGAAGGTAGCTTGGTCAGTTTTTTCATCAAATACAAGAAAAGGGAAATGTTTCGGGTTAGGTGCTGATTCTGCAGTGCCTATGGCAGCTTGATGCAGCATTATGGCAAAAGGGACAACTAGGAAGGTGATTAATATTCCTTTCGGAAGCCCCATATTCCTTGTTGATTTTGATTGATTCACCTAGAGCTAATTTAAATGCAGAAAACAAGAACAGAATAAATGGAACTAACCAAATGTGAGAGGAAATGGTGCTCACTATCTGCACAATGTGATCAAAATGAGAGATTTGCTTTCTATTTGTGGTAAATATGTTATATATACATGCGTCTGTTGAATAAGGAATCTGACACGAAATTACCAAAATGGAAGACAAGGGGCTTGATTTGTCAATTCTCCATTTGGACCTGTTAACCTTATCTTTAATATGCAATGTTCTGTTTGTGTGGTACTTGTTAATGTTCTTCCTTTGTTTTTCTTCCTTCGAGAAAACTCAAAAAACAGAGACTTTTCAAGTCAAGGCGGCTAATATGCCATGAAAAAGTCTATTTTCTGCCAGAAATGTGAACCCATTGGGCTATAAACTAACTTGTTTGTATTCTTTTTCTTTTAAAGGAAACTTCTAAGCAGCATGAGTACCGTGCGTATGCTAGAACCAGAAGAGGTCCCATGCAGAAGGCCTCAATGAATTTACAAGGAGACCAAGAAGATTTTGAATAATATGAAGGAAAATAGAAAGAAACAAAATTTGTCATACAACACCTACCGCGCCAACGTCACGAAGATTACTATATCTCTCTTCTTTTTTCTTTTCTTTTTTCTATTTTTTTCATTTTTATAATGATTTTGGGGCGGAGAGCGCGTAACTTGTAAGTTCAACTCTCATCGGAAATGTAGGATAAAGTGCTCTATCACTGAAATTATAAGCCCTCGCTATATGTTTGGTACATTATAAAACCTTCTTACCTTTGGTACTCACCAACAGCCAAAAAAAGACCTATCCATAAGAATACACAAAGTGATGTGTATGTTTCTGTACACAAAGTGATGTGTATGTTTCCTTATCCGAATGAAATGCTACTCAAGAAAAGACACACAATGTCATATCTAAACATATTTTTAACTTTAATATGCAGATTTGGAGGACACTGCAGGGTCCTAATCATTCACACACACAGTACTTATAAATTTACATGTAACCAAGTAACAAACTGTGAAACAGGAAAACATGAAGAAAAGTAATAACAAGACATACTAAGCACACTTGTTTTCATTTCCCCCCCTTCTACTTGGATATGAAACCGCCGATAACCGCGCCTATAAGAGCAGTAGGATCTCCCAGGATTGCAGAGACAATAACACGAACGGCACCACCAGCAATCTGGCAACACTTTCTGACCTTTCCTCCTCCTCCTCCTCTCCCTCCATGATGGTTTTTCAGTGTTCCCTTAAGGCTTGGGATTCTAGTCTGCATTTCCCTAACTTTGTTCTTGTCCACATTGAGATACATGGCTTGCCAGCTCTCCACAAGCAACTCCTTCACACATGACACATGAAGGTTATAGGTCTTGCAATCAGACCTGTAAGACCAACCAGGCCCCTTGCCTCCACACCTATGACAAGGACTAGATAACTTGAGGCACAAGTAAAGGTTGTGCTCCCCATCATCTAGGACTTGTGGGAGGTTTGCACAACAAGGGTGCAGATCAAAATCACATTTCCAGCAGTGGTACACAAACCCCAAAACATCCTTCCTACATGCATCACACACTCTCCTAGCAGCGCCAGGCGGGTTGTAAAGAAACTGAAACTCACATTTGTTGTAGAAGGGATGGTGGATGTTGGGAGCAGCCACAGCACATGCCTTGTGCAAGTCAAACTCACATTTCTGACACTTGTATTTGAGGCCAATGCCAGGTTCTTTGCACCCATCACAGTAGAATGGGATCTCTGTGTATTCAATCTTGAGCTTGTGTTGTAGGTGGATGGGGTGAGAGATTTCCTTGTCAATCTTCATGGGTTTTCTTTTTTCTTTCTTTTTTTCTCAGGGAAATCCTAAGTTTCTCACTCAGGCCAATTTGGAAGTAGCAGCAAGATGAGAGATGCTTATATGGAGATGAGGGTTAAATGGCCAGTTAAGTTTGGTATGCTTTTGATAGCTTAGAAAAAAGGGTTTCTCAACAGTCTTGTAGCTAAGGTAAGATTCTTTGCTTGAGTTTTACAAGTGGAGAATAAAAAAATTGGTCACATTGATGCAATAATTAAGGTGAGAATGTTTGAGATATAGAAGGATCAAAGAAAGCATTCATTGCCTTTGGAATCTATTGCCGTGGAAGGATGTTATTTTTTGCTGTTGCCTCCCTTGCGGGATTAAGATAGCATTTCTAGTACTGAGGGATATTGACTTAAAACCATATAAATGTTATTATAATTGATGAGCTTAAGAATCAAACTAGTCCTTGATGAAGAATCAAAAACTTGTAAATGTTTTTTTTTTTGTTTTTTTTTTTTTTTTTTTTTTTTTTTTAATTTATTTTATAAATATAAATTTAAACTAATTTAAAATTTACGAAAAGAGGAATTCAAACTTAGATGCAGAACCAACTTGTACATGGTTTTTCAGTCAAGGGCTAATTTTAGAGTTTCACGCAAAGCTTTCTTCAAAGACTACAAAAGAACAAAGGCAAGCAATGTCCCCAAAATTCATCTTGAGTCTCTGACCCCAACAGGTGGAATGTTCTGGGATGCTTTGGATTATATTATCAATCTCTTTGATAAATAAAGGAGTTCAACGCTTGTAAAAGTAGCAGCATGGATTCATCTGGAAGGTTCACAATGTTATAAAGACAAAGCTAAAAAAGCAGAACAAACGAGATGGTCTTCAGTGCCCCTGTCACAGGTGTCTCGACCACTGTGATTTCCGAAGTTATGGAATTTGTGAAGATCTTTGTATAGCTCAAGCTGCCAAGTGGCAAATTGTACTCTTTTGCGGGTCCTAGTCTATATCTATAGATAATTTTTTCAGCGTTACCCCCGTTATGTGTTTATAACATCTAAATACTTGCCTTCTTCTTAGGAAGTAGAAATTCTTACTTTCTTTATAATCACAATTTGATATGTGTGTTAAGATTCTTTTTTGCGTGTTTTTAATGAATTATTTTTATATATGTATCAAATTTTGATTTGCAGAAAGTAGGAATGCCTCTCAATTAAGAAGGTAAGCAATTATGCTTTAATAATTCTAATACGTCTCAAAATATTAATATATGATTCACTCATATTATGATACGTGAATGTCATGTGTCACGGTAAACGATTCTGCAGTGCCAAACTTATCTGCTAGATGTCAGTTTCAAACAAGTTTTCCACGGGGTGAACCAAGCCTTGTGACTCGTCAAACAAGGTTTACTACACGGAAATTCTTCTTATTTTATGTGAACCGAGCCTCTACATTTCACTTTCTTTATTTTGTTTTTGCCGAATTTCACTTTCTTTATTTGATTCTATATTCTCTTTGTTTTTTTTTTCTTTCCAACATATTCTCTTTGTTCTTTACTCTTTCCCCTTTTTTTTTAACTTTTTTTTTTCTTTGTTTGTTGGACCCTGTACGATTGTGGAAGGCATTAACCGAAACAGTACAAACAGAAAAAGAGAGTTTCAAACTCCATTTTATCAGATTCAAAGTGGGTTTGAGGATACTACAAAAAATCCCATTGTTAATAATTAATAATCACCACAAGTTATTAACCAAGGCTAAACCCTAACAATGCAACTTCCTATTATTGAGATTAGAGGATGTTCACCCCACGGATTAGTAGCAGCTTATCCCTACCTGGTCCCTCCAACAAGATCTTGACACAAACAAGTTTACGGTGCAAGAGTTAAGAGAAAACGGTTTAAATACAAATATTGCCCGCCTTCAGGCACACCCTCTCCTCTCCCCCACCCAACTTTCTCCCAGCAGGAAGCCCCTGGCACGCTGGATAGGAGAAACAAAGATGTCAATGACTGAATGTGCACGGTCCGGAGAAGGAAATACATAATGGAAGGGTTTCTTCTGCAAATAGCAGTCACTCTTTCAGACTTAGCCTTGCACTTTGAACCTTCACTGAAAGCTTCAACTTCTGCTCTTCCATGTCTCGTAGAACAGCAAGCAGATTTGCTCGATAAACTTCACACCGTTGGTTGGTATTCTCCAACTCGGCTGACAATTCACGGATTTTCTTTTCCTTCTCATCCTGAGGAAAATAAATGAGTGAACAAAAATAATGGCATATATCATGATCAAACTGAAAACACAAGCACCAATAAACAAAAAGAATGGCGTATTATATCATGATCACAGTGAAAGCACAAGCACCATATAAACCATGTGATGATTACATTTATTCTGACATCATAATTTACAGCTGGCCCTCTCTGGCTACAAACATGAAATAGAAATCATGAATTACCATGTTTGTAACAATGGAACACCCAAAGATGCATTATTTCTTAGTGTGTAGAGTTCAATAGCTACATACACCTAAGGTAACAAATAAGCAAATAATTACGAAACTATATCCATGCTTTCCAGATTCATAACAGGAAAGACAAAAAAAATTCACTTTTGAATAATTCTACTTCATATTCATAAACTTCCCCAATGACCTAATGCTGAGAGAGAGAGAGAGAGAGAGAGAGAGAGAGAGATATATTAAACATAATAACAACAACGACAATGATATTATTAAACATATATCTTGTGAGGTGGGAGTAACGTACCGAAGACTGATACACTGTTGTTTGATTTTCTTCCGTTGAATGCATTTCTTGGCTACCTCCATTGGCCAGGGAACTACCCTGAGTAGCTCCAGAACCTTGGTTCTTTATAGAAGCAACTTTCTTAGCAGCCTCCTGTAGAGCATTCATCGCCACATTATAAATGTGGATAGATTTTGCTCCCTCTTCTACATATTTGATTGCTTCCTGACGTAGATTGTTATACCTAACTGTTACAGATTCTCTAGAATTGTTTGGCAATTCAGACGCATGTTCATCCACCACAGCTCCACTCTTGGCATTTCTAGTCCATCGTTTCAATACGTATTGAGAAGGGAGTCTAAGAACATTCTTTGCCCTAAAAACTGCTAGTACATGCCTACAGATTATTCCTGAATATTCAAACATTTGACATGTACAACTAGCTTTCATCTCAAAAGAATTGAAATCAACAGCATGGGCTTTGTGGTCTTCCCCAAATTTGGCCACTCGATAGGTGGCAGCAGTTCCTGAGTCATCAATTTTTGTTGCAGGATTTGCAAGGGTCTCAACCAACTCCTCCTGGAACTTCTTAAATATTCGCCTAGTATAGAGGTTTGCAGCTTGTTTTTCCATAGGAGATGGTGTCTTCAAAACGGGCATAGTATTAGTAGTGTCATAATCTGCTTTGAGTTCCTTTTCATGCCAACTAACTACAGCTTTCTCATACTGTTTAAGCAAAACCTGTATGGTAGTGGATGAATTCACATACCCGTCAAAAAACAAAGTTAAACTTTCACTTCCCTCACTTACTGCAAACTCTCCAAAGAAGGTGTCTCTCATGTACACTGGGACCCACTGTTGCCTAGCATTGTACATTGATTGAAGCCATTCATCATCCATGATGTAGTATCTTTGAAGCAATGATTCCCAACGTGACTCAAACTCATCTACTGTCTCACTCTCATTGATGCACTTCTTAAATTCAGTCTCAAAAGTAGGATGAGAACGATATAGATGATCTAGTTTCTCTTGTGTTTCTCTAAATATGGCCCACTTACAGAAACGATGGCGAGTTTCAGGAAGAACCTGCGCAACTGCAACTTGTATGTGCCTCTCTGGATCAGTGGTGATGGAGACAGGGTGGCGTCCAGACATTGCATGAAGCCAAGTTTGTAACAGCCATAAGAATGAGGACTCAGACTCATTTAGAATTAACGCACAGCCAAACAACACTGGCTGCCCATGATGATTAAGCCCAGAAAATGAGGCAAACGGTACCCTATAGCGGTTTGTCCTGTACGAGGTGTCAAATATAACAGTATCTCCAAAATATGTATAATTCATCCTGGCTGTTGAATCCACCCAAAATATATTTCCACTAGAGTGATCACTATCATTCTGAATTGCATAGAAGAAAGCAGGATTTTCTGCTTGCATTCGTTTCAGATAGTCCAACACATGCTGACCCCCACCCCCGAGGGTCCTCTGTCTGACACCACTCATGTAACTTCAAAATTCAACTGTAGCCAATAAGAAAAAAGTAAGAAATGTTGCCACCAAAGTCCATTATTAAATACGGAAGGTAACTTACACAAATCAGGGTTCAAACTATAACTAAAACATCATATGCTGCTATCATCTCTACACCTTCACTAGAATTATATGCTCCTCCTCCTCCTCCTGGTCATCATGACCAGATTCATCCTAATTGCGAAAATTTTCCCTAATTGTTAACATTGCAATTCTTTTCAGACCAGCGAGGCCTTCCTACATGCAATAGAAATTTATTGCAGATTCATGGCACTTCCTACATGCAATAAAGCTACAGATTTTCTTGTAACAATTTTAAGTATTCAAACTAGTTTTTAACTGTGATTGCACGAGGTATGGTCTGGAAATTGGATACATAGGAAATCAACCATTGTTTTCTCAGAATAACACCCATTTAAGCTAATCTTAAGCATGCTTTTATCAGAAGTCACCAAACCTCAAACCACAGAAAACAATTCCCAAATTTGTAGCCTCCCTAAAGCAACATCATCAACATTACAGTAACGTTTTTTTTTTTTTTTTTTTTTTTTTTTTTTTTTATTAAATAATTATTTAAAAAGAAAAAAAAAACTACACGACACCCATAAGCTATGAGACAAATACTTAAAAACTTAACCCACAAAATATTGCACAGGGAGAAATTCAGGAAAATGGAGTACAAAAATTACAGCACATAAATTTCATACAAAAACCTAATCAATTTGCACAAGCAAAAAAAGGGGTGGTTAAGAAAAATACCTTGTTTGTTGTAGTTGAGTCTGTTTGAGATATAAGCTTGAGAAGAGAAGAAACAGAGGAAACAGTAAGTTTGGTGACCAGAGAGAATTGGGTATTGAAGAAGAAAGGGATTTAAGCCTTTCAGGCAGCTGAAAGCCAGAAACTGACTGGGCGGCCACACCCAATACTTCCATATTTGAACCAGTTGCTGGGTTTCATCAAAATGCAAAGAATCTGGAAAAATATACTAAATTGAACCAAAATTATATGTAAACTGGGTAAAGGAAGAAAGACTCACCCAAAACTGCAAACAAACTCTGCAACACGAAATAGGTCTTCGTCAAACTCCAAGACTGGCCCGGTCGCTGTCTCCCTCTGGCGATAGAGTGATAGAAAGACCCAAGCAGACTCTTCTCAAAGCCCTTTTGATTATTTCGAAGAAAGCAAACGACTTTCAAATCAAAACCCCATTTTTAGCTTTAGTGGTATTGAGTGGAATTTTTTTTACAGGAAATAGGGTTTCAAAAATTTGATTTTTAAAATTCAAAGAATGAAGTTCCATTATATAATCTCAGCTAAAAAATTCTCATTTTAGGGTTTTATTATTTCCTTTTTTCGGTTGCATTTTTAAAGTTTTTTATTATATTTTAATATCTTGAAGGCATTCTTTTGATTTCTCCCATTTTGTTCTTTTGATTTTCGGTTATGAAAAGCACTTTTTGCTTTGCTGCATTGGATATTGTCCATTTCCAATGTACGAAATTTGACGTCATTGCTTGAGATAATACCATGCTCTTTGCAACCGACATGCTAGGTGCATCAAATCCCAGATGAGTTCTTATGCTAAACTTTGGAAAATGGCTGTCCCTTAGGTGAATAATTGTTAGTCTTTTCACAGAAATTTTCACCATGGATTGCGCAGAAATTGACGACTAACAATCACCCGATCGACGTTTACTGTTGGTAATATAGGGTTTATAGCCAGTAAAAATCACCCTGCTCTCAACTTTCGGAGGTTCTCAAATGTAGCATACCATAAGGAACAGAGTTTTCAGCCACATAGTTGAAATTCACTTGAGAAAATCAGCTTGTACAGTGCATGATGCATAACAATGTCACATTTACAAACTGACTCCAACAAAGGCTCACAAGAACGTAACATTTCAGCTATACAGAGAGCCTTTCCCGAACTTGGATGTCTTACCTCGGTTTGGGCTGTGTTTGGTGTCACACTTCACAGTGTATTACTCTCAATGCTAGAAAAATGAGGTAGCTAACAATCCGTAGAATAGGAAGTATGCAGGGAGCTCCAGAAAAGCTTTAATCAACAGAACGATACACACGAGAGGAACACAAAACCAGTAAATTATACCTCACACACACGATTAGAAAATAACTACCAAAGAATTTCAATTGCCAAACACATCCATACCCCGATTAACCTTGCAGTCAGCTCTCATATTGGCCTTCATTTTCAACTACTCATACAATAATGTTTCTCCTCCTGCAAGGTTACCGTTGCACACTAGGAGATCCATACAATGTTAGAAACAACATAAAGCGGTTCAAAATAATATAACCAATAATTAAAAGAAAAGGAGGAAGTATGACAAATCGGCCAGAAATAATTTACACGTGAGATATCAAGCCTCTGGCGAGTCAAATCCGCAACCAAGATCCATCCATGGTCCAAAACATGGACCCTGCAAATTTCCCACATCAGTGAGAGTTTACTTTTCATTCCAATTCATCTTATTATATGGAAACTAAGATAATACCTTTCATTATATCAGACACAAGGCCAACTATCTGCATAGAGTTTGGATCCAGCAACTATGAATATACATCTACGAAAATTGAAAACACTGGAAACACAACCCAACTCGCACATATTTCCAATTTCTACACCACCCATAAGTGAAGAAATACCTTTCCAGAGAGCATTGTGAAGGTACACTGACTAAAAAGCAATTAAAATAAAAGATAAATACATGTGTGACTGTATTGCACCTTTATAGGCCATCTTTCATGCCAATCTTAATGTTTTGCACTTTAATTGACAACTGTAACTTATGATCCTCTATATCTTTCAAAACCGAAAGTAGGTTAGCCCGATAAACTTCACACTTCCGATTTGCACACTGCAGCTCATTCGTAAGTTCTCGAATTTTTTTGTCCATATCATCCTGCACAATAATACCCATAACAGAAAAGTTATGGCGGGCTTGAACAGATGCAAATAGCCCAAGTGGCATCCCATCAGTCAAATTATGAGGCAAACGTAGGCAAATAAACATTGCATAAACACAGAGCACTCCATCCCAAAGCCAAAAAAGAGAAAAATACCAAGGCTAAGGAGACAAGTAATCAAATCACAAAGAACTTGGGGAATAGCTCTGACCTCAGACAAGTGTTGGCCCGAACTCCCCTCATGATCCCCACTAGCATAATGTATCCGACTTGCTCCACCAGCCAAGTTGCCCCTGACATGCCCGTTGACCATGGTTTTCCCGTCATTCTTTGGTGCATGAGCTACTTTTTTGGCAGCCTCTTTCAGAGCATCCAGTGCAATGTCATAGGTTTCAGAAGACTTTGCTCCATCTACAAATTTAAAGGCCTCATGACGTAAGGTATTGTATCTAACAGTATGAGATTCTAGATAATTGGTATATACATCACTAGAACGTTCTTCTAACATGACACTGCTCTTGGCATTTCTTGTCCATCGTTTCAATATGTAATGGGATGGGAGAGTTAGCACATTGGTCACTCTAAAGACTGCCAATACATGTCTGCAAAGAAGACCTGAGAACTCAAACATCTGGCAACTACAAGTTGCCATCATCTCCAAAACATTAAGCTTAACATAATATGCTTTATGGTCCTCCCCAAACTTTGCTACTTGATATGTGATGATCTCCCCATCATCATCACCTTTAGATGCCGTGAAAGTTAGTGTCCCAACTAGCTCCTCTTGGAACCTCATAAATATTTTTTTTGTATAAAGCTCAGATGCTTGCTTTTCCATTGGAGATGGGGTCTTCAAAACTGGGGCAGTGTTCATAGTTTCAAAATCTGCTTTCACTTCCTTCTCGTTGCGACTCTCAAGAGCTTTCTCATAGAGCTTAAAGAACTGGCTCAGATTTGTTGAAGCATTCACATATCCATCAAAATATGAGTTCATGCTGTCACTTCTCTGAGTTATGGACATTTCTGCAAAAAATGTGTCACGCAGATAGACAGGGACCCATTGCCTGCGAGCAGAGTATACTGTTTGAAGCCATTCATGATCCCTGAGATCATATCTGTCAACAAGAGACAACCAGCAAGACTCAAATTCATCTATCGACTCAGTCAAATTAACACACTTGTGAAAGTCTGCTTCAAAAGTTGGATGTTTAAGAAAAACATGGGATAACTTCTCCTGGCATTTTTTGAAGATGTGCCATTTGCAGAAACGGTGGCGGGTCTGTGGGAAAACCTGCATGATGGCTGACTGTATCACAGCATCATGATCAGTGGTAATCGACACTGGATGGCGGCCCGACATTGCCATAAGCCATGTCTTAAACAACCAAACAAATGATGCTTCAGATTCATTTATCAGGAAGGCACAACCAAATAACACAGGCTGTCCGTGATGGTTTACCCCTGTGAAAGGTGCAAAGGGCAAACGGTACCTGTTTGACCTGTAGGTAGTGTCAAAAGTAACAGTATCACCAAAGTAACTATAGTTCATCCTTGCCTTTGGATCAGCCCAGATGACATTGCCCGTGGACTGATCCTCATCCCCTTGCACAGCATAGAAAAATTTTGGTTATCAGCTTGCATTTGTCTCAAGTAATCCAAAAGCATCTGAATGTCCCCATCTAAGCTTCTCTGGCGATTATTCCTCATGTAATTCCTACAGTCCACCTCTGTAAATCCGACTTTGCTTATTCCACCATATTCCTTAATCAGTGCTGACATAATCCTCCGGGGACCCATGCCAGCTGCCTGCAGGGTATCAATCAAGGTCTTAGCAGGACCTGATATTTGCCTGTGCGAACGAAGACAATGCACCTGATCAGGTGGAACCAACTCATGATTATGCTCTTTAACAAAACCAGACACAACCCACTTCCCTGAATCTTGCATCTTTACAGACAAGGATGCTTTGCATCCTACTCTGGTGATAGTACGTGGGCGCTTGATCTCCCTATCCTTGGTGCGCTTCTCATTCAAATTCCGGAAACCCTCTTTAGCACAAACAAATTGCCTCTGTATGATTGCTCCATCACGCCTGGAACGACGCGAGGAGCTGACACGAGTACTGAACCCAACACGCCGAGCATACGAATTGTAAAAGGCCTTGGCAGCCTCTTCGGACTCAAATTCCATGCCGTCATAAGGCTCAAGGTCCAAGAGGTCCCCCTCAGGAAGGTAAATTTCACCACTCCCTCCACCACCAAAAACAACAATACCACTGGCACTTCCAGTGGCACTGCTCATAAGAGGACTATCAACCATTTCCTCATCATCGACAGGGTGCTCAATGTCTACAAAATCATCATCGCCGTCTCGACCTCCCCCTCCTCCCAACCCAATATCAAATTCAATCACCTCGTTATCCATGTCAAACTTTGAAATAGTTTCAGATCAATCTCAAGTGAATTCTCTCAATTCCCAAGCCTGACAAGTTTGTTTTCTGTAGAAATATAACATTGTATTATATATATACATTAATAGGCATATAAATAAGTTATTATCAGTCTCAGTCCCTCTACAGTCTTAGCGGGAAAGAGTGGCAATACAAAGTAAATTCTCATAAATATGCAAAAAAACCTAAAATGTAAAGGAAAAGACTGACCCTCAAAGAGACAGATTTTCATACAGTCTATCATGGTCTCATCCCCTTGAGAAAGTGGGCTCCGGTGGATCTTCAGCAAAGTGCAACCTTTAGCTTGACCAATGGAGTGAGACAAAATGGGAGCTTTTTTTCTTAGGGTTTTCACAATCACAGAAAAACCCTAGAATCTGGTTCAATTTGAGTGGGATTGGGAGGGCTTTGTATTCAAATTGATTGAATTGAAGGAAATTATTGAAAAATATGAATAAAATAACAAGGAATATAATGAGAGTGATGATGAAGCGAAAGAGGGACGGGAGCTTGAGAAGGGTGGGTAGGCTCTTCGTATTCTATTCTAACCCGGCTCCTGGGGCTCTGATCGACTAGGTCTCCCATCAATTTCGTGAACGCTTGTGCACCGTTGGATTAGTTCTTCATCATTACAACGTTTCATTAAAAATTATTTTTCATGAGAAAAATTATTATATTTTTTCAATAAATAGTGACTTGTTTGTTATATTGTCAAACATGCAATTTGAGCCGTTGATTATATGGAATTTGAGAATTTGTCATTTTATATCAATTTCAACATTTCCTGTAATGGACTTGGTTGTAGTTTTAATATTAACCCATGCATCCGATGTCTTTTCTCCCCCGATATTATATAATTTAGAAAAGTTTAATATTGTTTTTTGACTAATTAACACTAATAGTAGAACCCAACCTTCTCGACTCTTCTTTTCCTCCTAATCCAAAGCCAACACAGATCTGATTTTCTCCTTGGTTCCAAGGGATTTCCCCTGGAACCATCCCCTTCGGTTAATAATTCGAGCCTCCCCCCCCTCCCCCTTTCCGATTATGTTGTGGAGAGGTTTTCCCTCCCAACTTTTGTTGGGTTTTGTTTGCTCCTTGCTGTTGCAAGGGTTTGTTTCTTCCCTCTTTTCTTGAGGGTCTGGTTCCCAGTCTTTTGGGGCAGATTTTTGGCTGATCTTGCTAGATCTGCTGCTTGTGTGGTAGATCTAGTGTCGATCTTTCTGTTTTGGAGGTGGAGCTGCTGATTTTGGTGGATCTACTTTGTTGTGCTTGCAAATCAAGGGGGATTAGGAGATGCTGTGATATTCTTTGGAATATCCTGGTGGAAGTTGAGCGATATTGCCCTCCATCCTTGGGGTAATTCTTGTCCCATGAAGTGTGAGAATTTGTTCTCTGTCTTGATCTCTCTTAAGCACTGGTTGCTGCAAAAAGAGGATCCTCATCATCTGTAACTCCTTGTTAGATGGGTTTAAAGTTGTAAATTTGTTTTCTAACTATCTTGTAATACTTGAGCTAAGTTGGTGGTGTTGTTAAATTTTGTATTGCAAGAACCTCCTTCCAGGGCTGTGTTCTTATGGTTGTAATCTGGGTTTGTGCCCTGTTTCTTCAATTGAAGTACTACTATTTCAACAAAAAAAAACAAAAAAAAAAAAAAAAAAAAAATACACATAACATAAATACATATGTATAAATCTTAACAAAACCAAACTTCAAAACTTTCTTTGATCGGTTTCCCTTCCTAAACAAGTAAGTAGATACTCTCTATTCTCTAACATATATCAAATGAATATAACTTCGTATTAAAGAAAAATAATAACTTTAGAGAGAAAAATATCATAAATTTCGAATGAGGTAAGAATTTCAACATTTAGTATAAACTCATTTGGTTTGCATAAAGGATTTGATGGGAAATAATTTCCCATGTCTTTTTTCAATGAATAAAAAATGAAAAATTCATTTCTCATGTTTGGTAATGCTGGGAGAAACAACCATAAAATACTACTTTATTTCATTTCCCATGTTTGGTTTGCATATGAATGTAAAACCAAGTTTGTCTTATTTTTCAATTATACCCATATTAGATGATAAAAAAACATATTTAATCCTATATTGTAATTCTAAATTGTTAATATGGACAAAATGGTCATGAAAATGTGTATTTAATGCTAGTCTTAGTTTTCCATGAAACCAAAGAGGGGTGGAGGTTTTCATTTTCTCATATTTTCACATGTGCCAACAACCATTTCTCATGCCTAGACTTACCAAACACGGAAAATCAAATTGATTTCCCATTCCCAAACTCCATCTCCCATGAACCAAACCAAACACACAAAATGGAGCGTGGAACATAATAAGAAATAAGGAAACAACATATAAAACAAACAAAATAAAATATAATTAATTTTTTTAGTACGTTTTTGTATAAATAAAAAAAAAAAAAAAAAAAAAAAAAAAAAAAAAAAAAAAAGCATTAACATGTTTTATTCAGTTTATGAATTTCCCAAATAAATCAAATTGGGCACCAAAGCGTAAATTGTAGTTTGGCTCGATGTAGCCAAATTATATTTTTTTGTGTGAAAGAGGAACAAAACTACACACACTAATTTTATTTGGCCGGTACGAACAAAACTACCCACACTAACTTGAGACTAAGCAACCAAAAATTTTATAAACACACCATCACCTAACTTCAATCCCTCTTTCAATACCGCTTATATAAAATAAAAAATTAAATGCACGACACAAGACACAATACTAAAACCCAAAAATAATCATAAATAAATACTCCATATTTGACGGATTATAGAGCACGTTATGAGAAAAAGAGACATAATTATGAGTAATACTAGAAACACTAATTTATTATACAAATTTTTGGACACAAATTGATGTGGTAGTGTTTTATTTGTTTTCGTTATGAGCTGATTATGAATGTTATTTATTCATACCAAATAAAAAACTGCTATATAAATTATCATCTAAAAATTGATGTCTCTAATATTATTGTATAATTGTTATACAACTAATTGTAAGAAAGAAAAAAAAAGTAATGTCTCTAGTATTATTGTATACACCTAATGCTAATTGTGTGGAAAAATCACTCATCTTGACACGTGAGAAGTTAAAAGGAGAGGATAATAAAAAGTCCCAAAAAAGGAAAAAAGCCATTGTAAAGCGAGGAGAGCAGTAGAGCAACCGGCTGCCCGATAGTCAGATCAATACATTTTAAGCGTCACTTGGCTTAGCAGAGCCACAGAGGCAGAACGCAGAACGCAGAACGCAGAAGCAGAGCTTGGTGTGCCTGAGCCACCGCACACCCACCAGCACTTTTCACCATCTTCGTGTCCCAAAAGGGCAATTGGGTAAGGCTCTCTCCACTTTGTTTCAACTTTCAAGTAGTTGTTTTTGTCTCTCGTCGTTGCAATACAAGCAGAGGCTATAAAAGCACTATATGCTTCTTGTTTCTTGTTTTTTTCACAACGTTCCCTCTTTCATTTCTTCGAAATCTGTGGGTGCTTTTTGTTTCCGAGTCTTTTTGGGTTGGATTTTTTAAAGCTGAGATTTTTGTGTGTGTTTTTGGTTGAATGTTTGAAGAAGGAGAAGGAAGAGATAGAAAAACATGGACGATATAGCCAAAGAAGAGGGGAAAAATATGGAGGAGGCTGAAGAAAACAAAAGTTTGAGCCATACCCATGTCCATGCACAACTTGAAGAGGGTCAAGAACCAAACCCCAACCCTGTTGATAGTGTAGAATTGGAGACCCAGAACAGCATTCATGACATTGGTGTTGAAGAATTGCATAATGACATTCAAGGTCCGGCTGATTCTGTTCCCACTGTCTTCAAAACTCCTGAAGATGCTAACATTGCTAAAAATTCCTCCAATGAGCCGCATGCCAGTAGTGAAAGTGTTAACCTTGCTAGCAATGTGGATTCTGGTGTGCACTGTGGGAGTGAGGTTTCTGTGAAGATTGAAAGTGAACAGAATGATGGTGAGAAAGGGGAGGCACTGAGGGATGATGTGGACATCAAAGTCAACCCGACCACTGAATTATGTGGCGGTGCAGAGACTGATAATCTTGTCTGTGATGGTGGTTCAAGTCAGACTGCGATCCCCATGGAGATTGAAAAGGAAGAAGATGATGTTGAGGAAGGGAAGGCACTGAAGGAGGGGGTGAGCAGCAAGGCCGACCCCTCCAATGAACCAGATATCAGTGTTGAAACTAATAATGTTGCCTGTGAGATGGAGCTTGATATCCCTTGTGATAGTGAGGTTGCAATGGAGAAACTGATAGATGGAGTGAGCAAAGAGGCCAATCCCTCCAGTGAACCACATATCAGTGCTGAAATTGGTAAGGTTGTTTGTAAGGTGAAGCCTGATATGCCTCCTCAGGATGCAACAGAGAAACTGATAAATGGGGTGAGCAGCGAGGCTAAACCCTCCAATGAACCGCATATCAGTGCTGAAGCTGATAATGTTGTTTGTAAGGTGGAGCCTGCTATGTCTTGTTATACTGAGGTTGCAATGGACAAACTGATAGATGAGGTGAGCAGCGAGGCCAACCCCTCCAACGAAACATATATCAGTGCTGAAACTGATGGTGCTGTTTGTGAGGTGGAGCCTGATATGCCTCTTGTTGATAGCAAGGTTGCAATGGAGAAACTGATAGATGGGGTGAGCAGTGAGGCCAACCCCTCCAACGAACCACATATCAGTGCTGGAACTGATGGTGCTGTTTGTGAGGTGGAGCCTGATATCCCTCTTGTTGATAGCAAGGTTGCAATGGAGAAACTGATAGATGCAGTGAGCAGTGAGGCCAACCCCTCCAATGAACCACATAGCAGTGCTAAAACTGATGATGTTGTTTGTAAGGTAGAGCTTGATATGCCTCGTGATAGTGAGGTTGCAACAGAGAAACTGATAGACCGGGTGAGCAGTGAGGCCAACCCCTCCAATGAACCACATATCAGT